GCCGTGTTTTCAAAAAGAGAGCGCCTGCGCTGGGCACTTCACAAACAACGAACAAACAAACAAACGCGAGGGCCAACCGAAAAATCGGGGGACGGCACACTGACGCGGAACAGCCAAAGCTCATCCAGATGTGCGAGAAAGCGATTACGGGCCATCGCTGCTCTCCCTCTCGTCTACATAAGAGAGAGAGAACAAATAAATAAAAAAAAGAGCCGGCAGAGCACGTCGATCTGAAGGAAGCGCTCTCCTTATTTTACCAGCCTCCCACCCACAAAGACTGAAGCAACAATCGACAGACAGCAGTCAGACCGACAAACAAACAGGAACCGACGAGAACACGAGGAGGAAGAGATCTGCTGCTGCTAACCTTCGCTGTCAAATCAAAGATTAGAACGAAAAAAATAAACAAATCGAACTTAACGGGGCCGCGCAACACAACTCCTTTCCTCCACCCAGTAAGAAAAGGAAAACCCGACGCACCAGTTTTGAAAGAGACGGGAGAGAGAGAGAGAGAGCAAAGATGGATAAATCGCGACTGGTTCGCCTTTCGCGCTCTTCGGTGTTCCCGGCGTGCCTGATACATCCAAAAGACGCGGTGTTTCGTTGCACACAGGACCGTACCATACGAGAAAGCAATACGCCCAAAACAACGTCGTCTGCAGACTGTTTTTTGTACGATGCATCCGTCTCGGTCGCCCGCACACTCTGAGCGTTTTTCAAGCTCGTACCTCCCCCAATACCGCCCGAAATGCCACGCCCACTTTTAAGGCACCGCGTCGAAAGCGGACGACTGCAAACGGACTCGTGGGAATGGAGCGTTCTGCTAAGGTGAATCTGACGAACATAAATGGAGAAATGTGTCATCCTGTCTTTGTCATTTATATAATTCTCCTCTAACACCGTAGTACATGGACTTTCGTCAAAGAATTGTTAAGATTTTTATTTTTGGGGAGAGGGCCTTTTGATGCGACAGATAAATCAGAAATGACTATCATGCTGCACTTCTTCCCTCGTTAAAAACGCGACAAGCACCCCCCCCCCCCCCCCCCCCTTTTTCTTTTCTGGCAACGACCTTAGGAGAGGCGTGTCGCTATGTTCGTCGCATTTTCAAGAGGAGAAAAAGGCCACGAACGATTGTAATTTGTTCTGCTTTTTTTTTTTTTTTTTTGACAGATGCTTAGGGCAAATGGGTGTGTCGAGATGTTTGGCCACATCTTTAAAAGAAAAAGGACACGCATAACAATTTTTTTTTGCATCCCTATAACAATGCCGAAGGATTGCCACTGTACCATAAAATTACGATCTTATAAATTAGTATCAAATTTAGTGTCCTTTTACGAATCGTAGAAGTTTTTGGGGACCAAACCACTGCTTAGAAACACGAGTGTTCTTGTTTTTCTCTTTTCTATTATTTCGCGGAAGCAGTATCTTCTCTACAATTAGCAACAGTGAGAAGTATGCATCTTTCTTTACGTAGAGAAAAACAGAAACCGGACACATGAGAAGGTCGAGGGCGGTAAACAATTTTATGGAAATAAAAAATAAGAAAAAAATAACGCGAAGAATTGCACGATGCAACAAAGACCACTGCCGAGAGATCCAGGAAGTGAAGGAAGCGAACCAACCCATGCAGGTGTTATCAAAAGAGCAACACCATCGGGGAAAAAAAAAAAGAAAAGAAAAAAAAACATGGCGGTAGCGATTGCGGCGGCCCCCGGCGGCCGAGAACAGGAGTCAAACCGGCAGCAGAAAAGGAACTAGAGCGAAGGAGTCCACGATACGGAACGCCGCCCACCGGCGCAGAGCTTCGGGGACGAGAGGCAAGCAGGCAGCGCTACGCTACCACGAACGACGAACACGCGAACGCAACTATATACGCGCAACTCGCACGGGATATCTCTTGCTTTCAAAGGGGGCACAGGAAACGAAAACCCCTAAAGAAAAACATTCACGTGCAGACGGGAAAAGCATTATTTAAAAAAAATATATATATAAATAAAAAAACAGGCGAAGCTGGAAGGACCTTTTAAGAACAATGGAAACTCAGAAGCAAGTGGGTCAAGTCATAACGTCGAAATCAGCCCCTCCCCTTCCTCCTCTCACCTGACTCGGCAGTGATCCATCTGGAGCGCTAGGCCTAATCCGCACAAGTTAGGCCTAACCACATTCAGCCACTTCCGCATGTACAGCCGTTCACCGAAGGGGTGCGTACACAGATATCAGCTACCTCGTGGGAGACGGCCAGCAATGGGTTCATACAGCAAATAAACGGAAATAACCTGTCAGACGGGTTGACATCGAGTTAGGCTTAGGACTGGTTTTGGGACTAGTAGGGGGGGGGGGGGGGGGTAATCCAGCAATGTGCCACAAAGCGGTTTCGAGATGAGCTCAAGACCATATTTCAGGAGAAAATCCCACAGATTGAAGCACCTTCAATCTGTGGGATCCAGTGAAAGAAAAATTAGTACCCATACACACACACGCTAAGCAGCGCTTTGTCCCAGTGTGCAGCCGCAACCACCTCGTCTCCACCCTTGCCATCACCAGTCGCCTGCCGATACATTTTGCCTTCTTTCCAAGTTCGTGCAGTACGCGCAGATACCATATCGAACTGGGTGATTGCCCAACACCCTTTTACACAAGGTCAGAGATGCTGGGGCTTTAACCCAGGCTAAACCATCACGTGGCCAGCTTGCTAAGCCTAACGAGCTAGGCTTCGCCGCCACGCGCCGCCGCCGCAACTACGATCAGACGAGGGGGTGTCACGTTGCGCCGACAAATCCAAGAGAAACGAGAGTATCAGAAAGTCCAAGCCCCCCCGGACGAAACACAATACAACAGGCCCGACTCGCCGCTAGCAAAAAGAAACCGCTTCCGCGGCCTCAAGGTCAACGCAACACGTGCACCTCTTGAGAAAGCTCTCTCGGGGAGCCGAGGGCGATCGCCCAATCTCGGGGCCAAGGCGCCCGCGCGCGCACGTGAACGTCAAGGCACGTTGGAGCCCGGCGGGATTGGGCAACCCCCGACTCCGTCGACACGGCTCGCACGCCCGCCAACAGACGTAGCCTTGTGACGTCGGCGCCCAGATACCACGCAGTGCGACCGACCCAACGTTTGCGGAAGAGAGGCGTGGGCTCGCTCTTCTTTCAACCCGCTCGCCTTTTTTTTTTTTTTTTCTCTCTTTTGCTTCGCAAAAACGGACAGCCAGTTCCTACGCAGTCCCTCGAGGAACACGCAATATTGCGCTCACCGCTTACGTTACGTTGTCCCCTAGAAACAGCTGTGGGCTCGAAAAGCTGCCCTATGGTGCACATTTTTTTCCCCCTTCATATTTAAAGAATTGTACGCGAACAATAAGTATCGTCAACCAATAACACAAAGCTAACGGCAACCGCGATGAAATTGTGACGTTCGATGTAAAGTTCTCGTTTGTGACGCAGCATCTCCCCAAACGAGACAGTGAAATAGACAAAAATCAGGATCCCCAGATCATATGGTCACAGTTGTCACAAAAACAGCACGGCCAACCGACCTTCACGACGCAATCACCCATGCCTCAGATCTCAAAACACCCTAGCCCCTCTGCCAGTTATTTCTTTGATATTTTATAAACATGAATGAAGACGTGACCACACTTTGCCAGTTGACGACTACGAAAACGAACACAACTCGCACCACAAATTGAGCGCGAAGTGACTTCAGTACCCCCCCCCGCCTGACCGCTTTGACGTCACGCTTGAGGTCGTCACGCCCCTGCCTGACCGCTTTGACGTCACGTTTGAGGAGTGACACCCGGTTACCAGTAAGGGATCGTAACAAAAAGAGAAGCCTACGCCGAGGGAGTAACAAAGGGCCGATATAATAAGCGCTCGAGACTCCGCAGCGGCAGCAACCTGCCCTCCCCCAGGTAACCCGTCCAACCCACCGAAGGCCACCGGACGAGGCAGCGTGGGGATCAAGATTCAGCGCCCAGCCCGCGCGGCCTTGCTCGCGTGCAACCACCCTCCGTCCGTCTTTTTACTTTGTTCGAAACACGGTACGGGTATAAGATACGGGGCAACCCCGCCTCTCCGCGTACAAGCGCGCGAAAACGGCGGCGAGAGTGAACAAGGTAACGACACCGGGCCCCCCCCGTCTCACCACAAGCGCGGACAGGCCACAACACGTTCGGGCACGCACACACCTACACTTTCGGTATCAACGCCCTCGAATCAGACCCAACCGGCCGTTGACAACAACATCCAGCGAGGGAAACAACCCTTTAAAAACGACAGAACGGCGACGCTAACCACGTCACAAATGAGATTCGTCGTCCCTCTCCGGAGAGAAAATGAAGGGGGGGTTAACTCTTCGGCTAGCGGTATCCCGGTCTTTCGGTGGCGTTATCCGTAGCAGCTGTCGTCATTATCGGGGGCCACTTGGTTTCATCAGTCCATCACAGCTTGTATACTGCAAGCTGACTATCGCGACGTCTGCTTCGCTTTTCCGGGAGATGTGGGGAGAGCCGCCGACAGCGATAAGGCCCATCCGACGAACGAAATCCAATAAAGATATAAAATGAAGTGGTTTGCGGAAGGGCTCCCCCATGGTCGGGGTACAAAGAGAAAACCAGCGGGTATTTTTGATTTTCGAGAAAAATACAACCGAAAAAAAACAGTGGAGAGACATACGCAGTAGGGACACCACCCGCTCCGTTCGGTGCTTTGTGCCGGATTCGTCTGCTAAGGGCAGAAACGCCCCTTTCGACTCCACCCCGATCTCGAGCGAGAAAAAAGATCCCCGGGCACCGTATTTGATCGTTCCCGTAGTACCGCCGAAATAACCAAGACGCAAGGCGAAAACAGGTTACGGTAAAAAGACAAAAAGGAGGCGAAGCGATCGCACAGCTGATCGCGGCCCGCTCGTCCAAGAGCGGACACAAAGCGCGAAAAAGCGGCACAAAAAATAAAAGAAAAGAAAAAGGCGCTAACCCTCCCGCTAGCAGACGATGCCGTGCTTACCCGTATGCGTCCTGAGGTGTGCCTTGAGGTGTGAGCTCTTGCCGTAGACTTTGTCGCATCCGTCAAAGGTGCAGGTGTGGACTTTCTTGAGCACGGACGGTGCGCGGACGCCGGGTGTGGCTGTGGGAGTTGCCGGCGCCGCTTTGTTCGAAGCGGCGCGCGCCTTAGGCCTAACGGCCGCGACCACGGGCCGCGCGTCCGAGCTCACCGGTTCCTGCGGGATTCGAGTCAAGTCGGCCAGTATCCGAGCGATCATGTAGACCGACGAGTCCGGGAGGTCCGCGGCCTGCTCTTCGCGGACGAAGTCGCTGCCGTCGGTCGTGCTTAGAGACACCGGACTACGGCGATCGGAGTCCGAGTACGGGTCTCGCGGCCTGGCGTTCGACATAGCCACGAGGCATTCGGCGGCGAGACTGACGTCCCTGTCGTGGTCCGCACGCAGGCAGAGAGCCATCGCAGAGTTCGGGAAGGTCCGCACGACGGCTATGGAGTCGGCCGAAACGTTCGGACACGCTTTCACTCGCTGCACGTTGTCCCACGAACGTCGCGAAGTCCGCTCAGATGCAGCGTACACGCACGACCACCAACCCACATCTGCCTGCTGCGCGGTTTCCCTCGTGGTTTTTTGGGGGAGTGGTCTGCGCGCGCTCTCCGGATGTGACGTTGAGGCAGCAGCGTTGTTCGATTGGTCGCTGGTTGGTGCGGTCACTTCCGCTTTACGCGCTTTTCGTCAATGTTTCGGTTTTTGTTTCATTTTCGACTGCTCCCAGAAAAGCCACTGCCACCCGTTACCTGCCCGCTGGTGTTTTCCTTCGCGGCGAGGCGGAAAACGAATGAATATAAACAAAGATGGAGGGGAAAACTCTCAGCGCGAGAGTTTTTTGGGGTGGAGTAGTGGTAAAGCGAAAGTAAAATGGACCACTGGGCGTAAGCGCGTCGTACGAGCGTTCCTGCGAACCAAAAACCGTTCCGCGATTCTCTCAGGAACCGACATCAGGATCCTATGGACACTTCGAACAACGTATATCTTGAGGAGAAAAACAAAAAAATGCACCAATAATAATATGGTGATATGCCAGCTACTAGTTTTAAAAACGCTGACCTCATGTACTGCGTTTAATGCACACACAAAACTGCTTCATCTCAAAAAAAAAAAAAAAAGGAGAAAAATTCGAAGAGCTATGGCTTGTGAAAAACCGAAGAACGATTCCGCAGGCTGACAGCAAAAACATCCAATTCTGAAAAAAAAAAAAAAAAAGAATAGAAAAAACCCTCTTGTCCATGAAGTTTTTTCGAAGAGGTCAAAGAAAACGATTTCGAAACAAGGTCACTTCGCCAAAGAACCACTTTCCTGCCAAGGCCCGCTTTTTTTTTTTTTTTTCTCTTTTCTTATCTTAGGAATCTTTTCCGCTAGCCGGTTTGTACTACCACGTACCAATGCCAGCAATCTGTCGTTATTTTAACTTGCTAGTGTGATTTACGGCAACTTTATCCTCAACGTTTCTTCAAAATAAATTTAGAGGAAGAAACTAGGAACCATCACCCAGATCGGACACTTCGCCGCCGGGAAGCAAATACAGGGGAAACAACACTAGTTTCTGATTTAAGACAACCCTGAGACAGGGTTGACAGGGTTGTCTTAAATCATGAACGTAAACCAGCTCGCCCGCGCCTTATCACTCATTTCAGTAACACTAGTTTCCTGTAATAGCACGCAGAAAGTGGATCCAAGCAGATAGAGTGGACGGTGGCCGGGACGGTCCAAGGATTATCCAAGTGTAACTCTTCACAACCCTATAGATAAGGCAACGGCTTGTCACTGGATCGTTCGCCGCTATCTGACCCTGCGCAAACAAACCACTACACGGAAGGAGTCGCAACACAGCAAAAAAAAAAAAAAAAAGTACCGTCTGCACATCTTTTATTTTTCTTTTACTTTATTTTTGCATCTACTTTGGACCGAAAGACAAAAATGTCGGCATCATTTTCACATCTCCCACGCTCACGCGGGATCGTGTCAATGCAAACCCGCGAACTTCGCACAAGTTCCATTTCTTCCAACTATCGCGATTCCGGAGTTCAAATGGACAGCAAAATCTGGATCACGACCTTTTGGACAGCATGGCCATGGACAAAATAAATGAAAACGCGTTCCCTGCATCACCACCGGTTGGTACCAACAGGACAACCGCGTTGTCGTTCATTTTGTGGATCGTTTTACTTTGTGGACCCTAAAGGTCGGCGACAGGTCAAGAAGGAAGTGGAAGGTCCTTCCACCTCTTTCCACTATCGCAGACTGAACCCTGGAGAGGAAGCGACCTCCTTTCCAGCGTTCGCTCTGCTAAAAGGGAAAGAGGTGGGAGGAGCTTCCACTTCCTTCTTGACCTGTTGTGATCCACATCAGTCACATGGTCAAAAAAAAAAAAAAAGACTACGATTTTTTTATCTGCATATATTAGGCTTGAAAGACTAGGTATATTGGTACATTCTCCCAAACGGCCGGCACTTGTTTTTTGTCTAAACTTCGACTGCGCAAGAAAAACACTAACTTAAAAAAAAAGTCCCGTACGTTATATTGTTGCATCAGAAGGCAGTACACCACAACACTACTAAAAATGCAGAAACATAAGCATATCAATACACGAGATAAATGAAAGACAGATCTTTCAATCAAAGGTTCCAAAATAAAAGTACAGTGTGAAAAAAAAAAAGAATAGAAACGAGTCCATGAAATTGCTAATACGTTATCTCCAAGTACAGGCACCAAGCACCAAAAGATTAATGTTTAAGCCATGTAATTTTAGCAGACAAATTCTACGGGGTAACACAATTGTATAACTAGCAACAGTGCATTTATTGTGCTGCTCACAATTTAATACAACAAGCGAGAAAGAAATTAACAATGTTTAAACACATGCTTTTACGGTAATTGGTGTGAAAACATGTATAGGAACTTTGCCTCTCCGACTAAATGGCTTGAAATCTAGGCGTCTAAGACTAGTGCCGTGCAACAGCTACATAGATTTAGATAAGCTGGAAGTTAGACATGTTTTGGCCTTTCCGTTTATTTATTTGAAAGACAAGAAAACACTTCACTTTGTTTTTAGTGGCCACCTAATTGAGCGATGACCACAATGAGCATCAATAAACAGCAGCAAAGTTCACAAAAAAAAAAAAAAAAGATAGTTGAAAGTGTTTGAAGAAAGCAGCAATAACCAACAAAGAATGACGAAAGAAAAGAATGGGGGACTTTCTGGTTGTTGCAACGTCTTCCAAACTAAACAAGCATCATCAATGACAGGCAGAATCAGATGGTAGGTTTCTCGCCACTTCAATAAATCAATAGATCAATCATTTATTCTGCGCAGCAACCACCTTGGAGCAGATTTCGGACGTGAAGTCGGAACAGCTGGCATTGCCGCCCAAATCGGCAGTCAAGTACTGCAAGATAAAACAGTCATTAATCATTAAAATTGCAAGTGACAGTAAACATGCACTACCTTCAATTCATGCTTAATTGCTTAAAAAAAATTGTGAAGCAATGCACTTAGCATTTTTTATTTTAAACACTTCTGATTTTACGTTACTTTGGCATACCTGATTTTCCGATAGCATTGTTATACGAAACAGAAACACAATAATTCACGAAAAATGCCTTAGCTTCATGAGTTTCTGTACGACCAACAAACATGCTTGTTTGAAGATGAGCTTTAAAATGGCACTAAAGGGGATTTCGAGATTGTGTCCTTATAATGTAAACTCAACCTACACACCCTAAGGGTCCCGCAAAACCATATATTATAGTCCCATGCGTCCCTTTTCTCTGCTAGAAACGCGACTAAACGTTGCGACTCGCCTTTTTGCCCAAAGCATCCGAAAAAACTAGAAATAACAATCGTGTGTGGCCTCTTTTAGTACTAACAATCCGACCAAACGTTGCGACATGCCCTCCTTTTTCGGAGATCTATCTCAGAAAAAGGGATGTTTTGCAATATATGGTAATAGTTAGTTTGGGGTTTTTCTTGGCACAGCAGTATCGGGTCTATAGTGCGCCAGGCAATGTATGGTAGCATGTTACCAGTCAAGAAGTTAATCATGCAAAATTAATTAAGGAGCGAAATATCCAAAATGCTACGTACATCACCAGCAATCAGCACAACTAGTGTCTCTGCGGGGAGCATAGTTATTGCAAGAAACGATTTGTCCGGCGTTCCGTAAAACACCCCGTAGATAACAGATCAGTCTTGTTATCTAATTGCCTCCGTAGCACCACATAACGAAATGAAGACAAGGAAACACAACCCTCTCGCACCTTTCCTTCCCGCAGGGTGTCGAAGCAGGCGACCTCAATGACGTCGGCAAAGTTGCTGAGCTTCATGTGGCGCAACATCATAATGCCGCTCAGAAGCAGCGCCGTTGGGTTGGCTTTGTTCTGGCCGGCAATGTCCGGGGCTGTACCGTGGACCTGACAAGCAGACGACGAAGCAATGATCGAGCGACAGAAAGAATTCCCTTAAAAAAATGCTTTTAATTTTATCTATATCAATGTTAATATCGTCGTTCACTCTTTGTCAACTGCCGAGGCTTAAAAAAGCCCTAAACCTAGGAAAAAAACATTTCTTTTTTGTTCAATATTTTTGTTGCAAAACAAATTTTTCGATTTGCGGGCAAAACCTAAATTGTATCCCTGTGGGATGATGACGACAGCCATTTGTACCTAACTATATTCCGGTTCCATCCTTAAAGGACATATGCAAAGGAAAAAAATATATATATTTTTTAAACAGCCTAGATGAAAAAAGAATCTTATAAAACGAATTTACAACGAACAAAAAAAAAAGTTTAAGCGCTATATGTACGGCGCAAAACGAATTTGTAGATGGCGCCCGCGGCAGCCGCTGTGAGTCACATGGTACACTTCTGCGCCGTCGCGCGGCACCGCTGCCGCCTCAATGTCACACCGCCGCCGCACGCTTGAGCGTGGTGTACAGACTGTTCAACGTGTTTCTCCACGTCGCCGCTGCCGCTACCGCACAAGTTCGTCTGCTCCGGGGCGCCACCGCCGCCATCTGACCGACGCACAGGTCTATCACGTCTGCTCGCGCTTTTTCAGGAGCTTCCTTTGGGCTCTAAAAGTTACTTATTAATTTTCTTTTCTTGTTGCACTTGAAACAAAGATGAACAAATAACTTTTAGAGACAATAGGAAGCTTCCGAAAGAGCGCAAGTATCACGTGACAAATAGTGGCCAGTCACGTGACAAATAGCAGCCACTTTTCCGTGGCGCCCGCGGGTGCCAACTACAAATTCATATAGCGCCGTAAATATAGCTTTAAATTTTTTTATTTTTTGTGGTAAATTCGTTTTGTGATTTGCTTTTCCCAACCAGGCTGTTTAAAAAAAATGTATTTTCCATTTGCATGTGTCCTTTAAGCCGAGACTAGAAGCTCCGCCTTCAGCGCAAGCTCGCTGGCTTCCGCTGTGCTTTGGTTGTGCGTGCCTGCGCATTCACACTTGTGTTAGCAAGGGCAGAAAGCTCACGCACAAGGCGGAGCTTCTCGTCTCAGCTTAAGGGTGAACGATGTATAGCGTGCGCCCCGAGTTTGCTGGACCTCAGAGTGCCCACTAGCTGGGTCCAAACGCTATCATCACCATCCCACAGAGATACAATTTTGGTTTTGCCCGCAAATAAAAAAAATCCGTATTGTAACAAATATTGACCAATTTTTTTTTTTTTTTTTTTATGAGCATTTATTTTGAGGTATGGCTGTCCTCTTAGGTAGAAAAAAAAAGTTTTTTTTTTAATATAATGATTACAATTGAAGTCAATTAGCGAGGAAAAGCTAGCTTTCTGGCTCAATATCAAAGATTCTAAGTGAATTTAATATATTAAATATTGTAGCGAAAAAATTGATGATGTCTATAAATTGTCCACTCTAATAGCTCCATGGAATGCACAAGCAAGCTTAACCCTAAGTGCAAAAAGGCAGCATTCTGGCAAATCGATGCATAATATCGTCAATAATATTGTGCACAATTACCCCCCCCCCCCTCCCCCATAGCAGTCTCAAAAACTTATGCACTCCGAAGCCATGAGCTGAAAAAGAGCTACCTATTCACCGGCCTCTTACAGAGAAAACATTTGAAGGGGTAAAAACAATGTGCGTACACCTCTAATCAAAGGACCTTTAAGAGCTTGAGTTGAGGATAAACAAAAAGCAGCCTGCACAAATGCAAGAAAATGGCCGACTCGGGAATTGCCGCCTCCAACTCACCGACTCAAAGATGGCCCCGTCGGAACCAATGTTGCCGCTCGGCGTGACTCCCAATCCGCCGACAAGGCCGGCGCACAGGTCGCTACGACAAAGCCAAGAGTTTCTCAAGTTATTCCATTGAGAAGTTTGTTGATTCCTAGCCGATTCATTAGCATGGGTCACTCAGAAGCAGAGTTTCCTGTAAATGTACTTATATATAATTTTACCCAAATACTGGAAGTGATGGGAAACACTGGAAGTCCAATCAACGTTTTTTTGGCGATTATTTTTGTCTCGTGATACCGTAAGTCCCACAGAGTTAATATTGCCGAAGACACTCGTCTCTCGGCAGCAAAAATGGCAAGTCCAGTAAGTCTTTAAAGAAGTTAGTTAAACCAAACGAAGACGGGCACATTTTTTTATGTAGCATAATGCTGCATTTTCACTAGCAAAGTAAGCATCCACGCTTGCTCTGTTAATAGACATTGTTCTTCACACATGCCTGCACTTGATGAGTGCCCACGCAAATAGGCACCAATAAATGCTGATTTTCTCTCATTAGAAAGATCATATGAAGCCGTTTGTTCATAGTGGCCAACTTGTGCTCACAATATGTCATTATTTATAACTCAAACAAGAACTTGGTGCCAAAGCCAAGCAATCTTTAACAAAACAATCAATGCCAAAACAATGTACTGGACATTTTGGTGCCGCATCTAGGCCTTATTTCACTCCAGAAATGCCGACAGGGGAGCACCAATCAGGATGCAAAGAATGAATGCACATTGTTTTATTGAAAGATCAATGAAAGATGGAAATAAAAATGACTGAACTATAAACACCATTCGTAACAAACCACAAACTACTGTTATAGCAAGTGCCCACATTGCTCACAATGTGAAAACCTTGTTTCCGCGTATTGGGAACTGTCGGCTGCCCCCGAAAATCACGTTTTACGTAATATCACAGCTCAGCACCAGTGCTGCTGTACCCACCTGAGAATATCGCCGTAGAGGTTAGGCATGACCAGTACGTCGAATTTAGACGGGTCTTGAACCATCTTTGAGGAGAAAAAAATGAAAGAAATAAGGTACGCATCTAAGGCACCGTAAACTTTAAACTGCCATCAAAATAAATTTACTTTTCGTTTCGTAGACTCAATCTGCAGCTTGGTTGAAAATTTGTTTTTCATCGAATTTCCTTTTTATTAGTAGTTGAATAAGTCATTTTTCAAATTAGATTTTAAGACACAAATACACATCTTAGTTATCGCTAAAAAAAAAAAAGAATATTGACTTCTTTTTAACTAATGCAAGAGCCTGTGGTTAAGAAACCCATAATTTTACTTTTCGATAAACTAGCACTTTCCAACAAAAGTTAACTTTTTATTTTCTTTCTGCTTTGATAAGCTTGATAGAGTATGTATTTAAAGCAAGTCTCGACTACCCCCCTGCATAAAGGCCTCAAGAAGCACACTTGAAAAAAACAAAGATAAAATAATGTACCCCTTCCAGTAAACTTTGGAAAGAAAAACAAAAGATGCACCAGGACAGAACTTAATGCATTATACCCCGAAACAGCTGAACCTCTTTATCTCGTGCAGCACTACATACTAAAGATTCCTCGCCAAACAATAGAAGCTAGCACCTCGAAGTTCCCAAGTGCACTCATGTAAGATCTTCATTTTTTAAACAAAAATTGCAAGTGCTTTCCTAAAAAAATAAATAAATAAAAAGCACACCATTATAGCATATTGTAAGAACAGGATAATGACAATAGTACTCACATTAAGGCAGAGCGTATCCAGGTACATCTCGTTGTACTTTACGGTAGGATTCCTTTCTGCAGCATCCCGGCAACAGCGAAGAAACAGGCCATCCGACATCCGCCTGCATGCATTGAGAGCAAAGTAAAAAAAAATCAGCACTCTCCCAAATAATGCATTCCTAACTTCAGGTGCTTGTGCTCAGCTTCAGCGGGCTGCAATACATGCCGGGAGTCAGCTTCAGCCCACTGAACGTCAGAGTTGACCAACATAAACGATCAAGCTTGGTAAAAAATTTTGTTTTTTTCTGCTATTGGCTATACAGGGAAATTCATATGAAATTTAGAAAGATTTATTGGCCCTGCTCAGTGCAAAAGATTCTTGTACCACATAAACTGTGCAACTCTTACTGCGAACGCGACAAAAGGTGCTTTTAACGTGAAACGTTCCTTAGCTAGGTGTTTGGCATTTCTTGAAGCCGACAAGTGAAGCCCGGATAAAAGCGTGGCCGCGAGGCTCGACACTGATTGGTTGACGGGTGGGAGAGGGGGAGTCAGGTGCTAGATGCCGAATGGTTAACGGGGAGGTCATGTGGCCAGAGGGTAGGCCAGGAGGAACTCGACCACCTCTGCTCACTGAGGGAGAGGGGCTTGAGACTATGAAAGGCTCTGGAAGGTCGAAAGGTTTACCAGCCCGATTAGCGGTTGTATCGCTTCATTCTAGGAACAGCTATCAAGTCTACACATGGTACGCTTTAAACTATTTGACAAAGAGCACCGTGAACGTAGGCGTCTGAAAACTCAGAGTATCGCTAAACGTTTGTCATGCTAGAATGTTTCACGTATGCGACAAAATTGCCTAGCGATTTGCCATACATTTCTTGCATTTTGCTCGGACAGTTTATTAACGGGCACCAAACATTACCACTTGGATTACAGCCATGAATGAGTACTTTTTGCAACACTAGTAATGTTGACAGCAGTGGTTTAATGTTAAGACAAAAAAAAAAAAAAAAAAAAAAGACAGGCAATTGCTTGTTCGCACTAACAGTGCTTTGCTGTGCACGTCTCTTGGAGCTATCGTTTTATTTCAGTCTTGAACAAAAGCAACCAGAGGACCGATGGACCAAAGTTTTTGCCGCATGTTTTTTGCTTTGTCATTCTGTTTTATTTTTGTTTGCTCTGCCCCTCCCCTCGACAATGCTTAGGCACTTGAGGATATGTACAATAAATAAATTATGGCATGGTCTGTATGTTAACACCACTGAAACCGAGAACAAGGTCACTAGTATTCAAGTAGTGCCACTTTTCTCCTTAGACATGTCTGTCCTCCTGAAGAAAAATGTTTGCATTGGGACTTCTCTGTGCTTTCGCTCTGACTGGCGTGTGTCACCTTCGTCACGACACTAAGCATTCTAATTGAAGCTTTACAAGAGTAAGCCTGAGGCGTTCAGACTGGAAACGCATCAATGTTACGCACATGATGTTGGCCTTGTGGACAGCAGTGACCATGTTACGGTTGTTTGCCTTGGCATACTCAAACGCATAGTTGGCAATGTTCCTCGACGCTGGTTCTGTGATCAGCTTGATGCTCTGAACCACTCCCGTCACAATCTGAAACATGCAAGTGTTCATCAGTCACCACAATGCCCAATGCGAGTGATCATTGGATGGTAGAAATCAGCAATTAGAATTAGACTGAGCTCGATACGATATAAGAAAGTTTGTCACTTTAAGCAAAAGCATTTCATAAGACATAATGAAATATTACCATTACAATGTCCACAGTAAAATTCTAAGCTCGCACAGAGGAAAAAAAAAAACTTTCAAATCAGCTGGGGTGTACGATGCCGTTTAAAAACAAAATAACAAGTGAAAAATACCAGCAAAGTGACATTATAAAAAAAAAGAGGAGATTCAAAACATTACCATTAGTGCATTAGAAACGAGCAAGGTAACAAAATACATACTCCAGAAACATTAAAAGATAAAAGGATTATAAAAAGCACTCTTAGGAATGTTTATCCCACTATTTATTTACTTTAGGAGTCTGTCAGCAAATGGGTCAATACAGGGAGGAAGTTAATACAGGATAAAAATTAATTTTACATCTACAGTTCAGTAGCAACCGAAATCAAGTAAACAAAGGTCTTAAAAACCCGAAACGATTTACTTCAATCCTTACATATTTCAAAAGAAGCATTTGCAGTCACTAAATCTTTCGAATCACCAAATTTCGGCAGTGTGGAAGAGAATTGAAAAAAATAAAGGCGGAAGAGAAATTAATAAAAAAAAAAAAAAGAAAGAAAGAAAGAAGAGAGTTCATGCCTCGTGTTCAATGCCGCTGTACTCTCCCTCCGTGTTCTCTCGGATCGTGACCACATCCACGTCCTTGTACGGCGTCTCGTAGCCCTCGATGGAACGGCACGGCCGCACATTGGCATACAGATTGAACGCCCTGCGGTCAAGAAATGAAGGTTCCCAGTTCAGACTTGGCGACAAGTGTTTCTCGAAATCCTCCAACTCTATTTTTTCTTAGTTCTCTGCGGGGCTTAAAGCAACGAGGTATCCCGATGCACACAATTAGCGCAACAGGGGACAAACACAGGAAAGAAAAAGAAGACAGGACAGGACAGAGGTATCCTGATTTTAAAAGGAGTGGCCTCATTTCGAGGGCTTTCGTTCTACCATTCAACCAGCGTAACAAGGCGGTATTCCGTCCCTTTTTTCTTAAATGAGCCCGACGCCCCAGCTAAAGCCGTAGTGCATGAAATCAAATTTGACTGGCACATTAGATTCTGTGCTCACACTTATAAGCCACTGCCAAAAGCAAACAATTAACCGTTTCATAAAACATGCGAAGAATGTGCTCATGTTTTTCGAGTATTGCATACAATATTAGTATTCATAAATTTTGTTTTTAAATGTTTGTTGTTCATCAGCTCTTGCAGCATTTTAGTGTGAACAGCCCTCATATAATGTACATTTCCCGCAATAACCTTGTCTGGAAAAATACACTTTTAAGACAACCCCCTTCAGCCAAAAGTATATGTGCAAAAAAAAAATTTTGTTTGTTATTGCCTACCTAGCCACTTTTTTTCAGTAATCCCCCCATGGCCCGCTCTGGTGTAAAAGTTGTCAGCTAGGTGGCGCAAGCTACCGCCCGATTCGAAGGGTATAGCAACTACCATCCATCTATCAAAGCAGGGGGGAAGACTCACTGCCTAAGTGCAAGGTTGAGGGATCGGTGGCCCTTGCCGATGGGGGTCATGAGGGGGCCCTTGAGGCCGATCTTGTTCTTGTTAACCGAGTCTATGGCCTTCTGCGGGATGCCGAACTTGCCATCGGGACCCTTGACTGGAGTGACGTCCACGACCTCCCACTGGATCGGGACCTGGAGTGGGCCACCAGATCGAGAAAATGAAACCCACGGCAGAGGTTTTATTGCGACATACAATGGAATCTCGCTAGAGTTCTGCTGTGGAAAGTCGGTGAGTGTCGTGAGGCATCAGCATGCTACAGTGATTGGCGCTCATCGCACGGAAGAAGGTTCCGCATGCTTTTTGAGCAACCTTGAACGCATCGAAGGCATAGCAGCGTTCACTGCTTGTTACATTTTCTGTAAGGTTGTAACTACTCGGGTCATTTTCGCTTCAAGACGAGATTTCTGAGCCTGTTCAAAGCTTAAAATGAAGAGAAGTGTTTTATAAAGTGCGTGCTAGATGATGGTGGAAGTAAGTAAAATATGGGTGTCTTTCATTCTCTACGCATTCATAAGCAAAATTTGAGCCTGAGACAAGCAGCATTTTACACTATTCTCAATTTCACTTAGAATAAAATGCACGACACATGTCCGTACGCTGCACAAGTAGTTCTCACAAGATTTGGTTGCAAGGGAATAAAACTATACTTTTTGTATCAGAAGCATTAACATTTTTAATACAATAAAAAGACAGTACATTAAGCATTTTTAATTCACCACATGAATGCGGACATTAGTCATGCTCCGCTCTGTGAGGAGCCAAACCTTTTTTGCTGGGGTTCTCGAGATGAAAACAAACAATGTCAGAGAGAGACTGAACTCAAAAGGTTCTGATTGGTTTGCTCCCATTCAGCAGTGCATACTGGCTCTGGTCTCACTCACCCCTGCTGTTTTAAAGATCTCCTGGACGGAGGCGGAGATCTCCGGCCCAATGCCGTCTCCGGGAATGAGCGTGACCGTCCGCACATCGGTGGAAGCGTGCCTCTTTAAGGCGGGGCCAAGGGTACGCCTCAGGAACGGTGCCTGAAATCAGGATCAGGGATCGATTACAAATGTGATGGCATCATTCAACTTGAAATTTCCAATGTGGCTAAAATACTCCAAGGATTGGTGTTCCTTTCAACTTGAGGACGATTACGTATAGGGCTAAATTTCAGGAGACCTTATCTGCCGCCTGCGATAATGAGGGCGAGACGGTAGAGCACTTGGCTTTGAAGCACACGGGGCTTCGTCCTGCCCCCTGAAGAGGTAATTGGATTTGACCAATGTCCTGGGTTTTGCAGGTGACGATGGAAGGACGAAAGAGAAAAGTATTGTAGTTGCAAGGAGGCGATTAGAAGGTTGGTGGAAATTATCTAGGGGAAATCGAATGATGAAAAACTAACTAGCAAAGCTGGGGACAGGCAGGACGGAGGAAAATTGGGGCTCCCTCCCACGTGGCTCCGGTCCAAAGTGTCAACCCTGTCCCCCTGTGGATCCTGTGCTAAAGTAACGCCGACAAGGTTTGACCAGAGGAAAATTGAAAACTCCCTCGCCGGAGGGAAGAGGCTGGGGTGACGTTTTCAGTTGTTTTTTTTTTCGCCCGATCCCCCAAAGGTCATCCTGGTGATGTTCCACACTGCCTGGTGATAGCTAGGGGAAAAAAATTGGTCTTACAAGAGCGGGAGGAATTACATGTTTGTCTTCAAAGACCTAGGCTAGGTGGCACAAACTGCCACCCGTTACAAGGGGTATAGCCATTAACATCCATCCATCCGACTAGATGCGGTAGAGCCATAGAACAAACTCTCACACAGTTCAAGCTCCCCATAATTTAACTGACGTGCACAATCTCATTCATGTAACATTTTCCTTTACCGATCTAGAAGGAGACTAGAAGTCATGTGTTGTTTATGCAGTTTTGGGAAACTTAAGAACGAGAATCAATACTGCAAACTTGAGACATCTACTACACACATCATTAACATTCTTTCTGAAACATAAAAAAAAGAGCTAGCGAGCAAGGCTTTACGCAAATGAAATTCAAATTTGGGTTCTTTGTTTCTGATTGGCAAGATGATCAGGTTGAAGAGTCAATATACTAAGTTCTACGCCATCGATCTTAGAGCTGGGAGCTCGCCGATCCACTCCGCGGATTTTGGAGCGCGACCGGCGTTTTGTTTTCATTTCGTTCGTTCATAAAACGGCTAGTAAGCATCAAATCGAACCTCGCAGGGTCACCGCATCACTTCCTTCGAATTAGGCCCGAAAATAAGCGTCTGGGAAAGCTGGAAAGTCATTATAAGTCACAAAGTCACCATAAGGTCAGCCGAGTCGATGTTCAGAGTCAACGCCAAGGCGTGACTGGCCACACTCCCGATCAGACTGCGCGACTCCCGGGGAAGGCGGCGACGTTGTCGAAAAGATATGACACGTTTGAAATCTTCAACGGTGTACTTACGCAGATATTTCTGAGTCCAGCGGGCATCTTTCTTCGTGTGCGATTCACCCGAATTCAATGAGAGATCTCCACACGAGTCAAAAGAGAAACCGCAGGCCCGCAGGTAAGCACCCTATCGACGAACGCACGCACCACGCACTATCTTGCAGTTAATAAGAATAGAAACATTTTTTTCCTTTACGTTTTATCAAATTTGTAAGCTCAATAACGCATAAATACCTAGTGACAGCTACTTTGAAATTAATATTTGTATATGATATAAACGTTAATATATTGTCCCTCAAAACGAGCTTGGCCAGGTTTGAGCTGTGAAATGGCAACCGGCACCTTAACCAAAAACAAAATGGCGGCACCCATCTAAACGGGTAAACGTGCGTCGGGTGCCGAGTGGCGAGGACCGATTTTCCGATAATTCAGAAGAGGTGCTGGCAAAGTTCTAAGATGCGGCTCACGAACGTCCTGCGTTGCGCTTCGCGGCTTCCCAAGGACTACGCCAACCTGCCGGAGTCGTATGTAAAGCGTTCGATGGCCATGGTGGAATGGCGCACTCCCAACGCGCCCCAGTACCAGCGAAAGGTGATACAGCGCACCCGGTTCCACTACAACATGTCGAGGCCTTGGACGGACGGGTTCAAGTCGGTGAACATGCCGGGAATTAGGCGTCGCCGAATTTACGTCGAACCCATCGATTGGACCGTCTTCAGGGGAGATCGGGTGGGTGAAACGCGAATTTTCCGTCCCATCCGAGGTCAAAAACCGACCTTGCAACTAGTGGAGTATATTACCGGTCGCAAGCCAATCGGAAAAGTCTATGATGGCCACTTTCATAAACACATGTACTGTTATTATGCACCTCCTGACCACAGTGAAACCTGTCACCTTCCCTTTCCTGTCAAAACGGCGATCATGTAATATGAATCTTCCTCCTCTCCCCTGTAGTGTTTGATTAAGTTTCACATAATGAGCACGAGGGGCTTCGTTGCAGTTATGAAACAATAGGACACTCCCAAGCGCAGCTACCATGCAGCCTAAATTTTGCTGAACGCATTAAAAAAAAAAAAATAAAAAAAAATAGGGACCGTAATTTTAATGAAAAAAAATTCACGAAGGTCCTCTCAAGCCCAGCGAAGGGCATAATTCAACCGCAAGTGCGCAAAACGCGAATGTAAGCCGAGTCGGCCGTAGGGACATTTTCTCATTAGGTAATTCTTTGAGGACAGCCTACAACATGGCGTAAAGTTGGTTTAGTTGGAGCAAGATTCGGGTGAAAACAGCACTAAAGAAATACAGAACCAGAAACGAGGTACACTTGTAGAGCACCAAACAACCCTACCTTATAGGTATGGTCTTGTGTGCTGCCCTGTGCTTTTTGCGTTGGGATGAAAAAAAAAAAAATTTGACAACATGAATGTTTCCTCTTTCAGGTGGAGGTCCTCGTTGGCAGGGACAAGGGGAAGCAGGGCATCGTCAACTACATCGTCAAGGAACGCAATTGGGTCGTCGTCGAGGGTCTGAACTGCGTAAGAGGACCTTGTTAGAGAGATACTTATAGTTCACCTGGAAAGGTTTTACTGTATAACTACTAGAGTCATGTAATGTTAACACCCCCCCCCCCCCCCCCCTCCCTTGAAAATCGTCCATAATATTAAGACGGAAATGCATCTACGTACCCAATTCATCCCCTCCGACAAAATTACGATCGTCGCAGACGAAATTACGATGATCGCAGATTTGCCTCAAACTTGGTATAACACATTAATTAATAGACATATCTGAACTACTACAACTACAAATCACAACAATATTTTTTTTTTCTGAGGTTAGTGAAGGGTAACATAGCTCTTGAATGCAGGGAGCTGAATGGTGCCAGTTAGCAGAAACCGGCCTCCTTTTCCCATTGGTATTTTTAGAAGATCGCTTGCAACTAGGATTTCGTGTTTTCAGAGTTCATTTTTCGTCGAGTTCGGAGGGTGTTTATCGTAGTTTATTTTTTGCCAAAAATTCTGAGTTTATCAGACTTTATTTTTGTTTGATCCCCAATTCTCAAAAATTCAAAGTTTACTCTTGACGCTTCGTAAATTAAAAAAAAAAAAAAAAATCAAAGTGTAGACAGAAGCAATATATATATATATATATATATATATATATATATATATATATATATATATATATATATATATATATATATATATAAAGGTGCTTGTGCCAAATAATTGTTTTTTGCCTGGATTTGGCGTTGGTACCATTGCCAGTGACAATACTAATTTGTCCCACGACAAAAGTTGCACACAACTGTTGCTTCGATAAACATTGATACCTTAAAATCCATAAACTCCCAGAGATAGTCGCTGGGAAGCTCGTATTCATCCCATCCTAATCCATCAACCTACCCAGTGGCCACACGAGGTGGTGTGATTAAGGATGTAATAAAAAAGCTTCAAGCGCCCTTCCTCTTCCTCATTTTATGCAATCTTCATGGTTCATAGTGTTCACCGTTACAAAAACACAACCTCTCCTTCGTCTGAGAAGCACAAGTAGTATGACCCAAACTGGATACCAAGACAGTGGTACCTGCCCTTACTCAGAAGTACAATGGCCCATTTTCCTGAATGAACCTTGATGAGATAAGTGGCAAGATCAGTTTTGTCAGTGGCCCAAGATTTGAAGGACAACTGTTGTGGCATTTCCTCAGGTTCATTATCACTGTGCGCTGACCAAACTTAATTGTATAATGCCGTCTTTTCTTTCTTTTTTTGCCGCCCCCCCCCCCCCCAAACAGGTACATTATTGTTTCGAGTTTCTCATATAAATATAAATTAACAAAACATTTACCGGCGGGTGTGCTACGTTTGGGTGGAAAATGGGCGTCTGGCAATGTATAGTTTATTTTTGCGGTAAAAAAAAAATATCTTGTAAATGTTTTTCTTGGGGGGACACACCGGGAATTATGCGTCATTTTTTTCCTTTCCGCAGTACTACAAGCACACAAGATCCGCTGGTCAGGTCCAGGTCGCGAAAGTTGAGGCTCCTCTCCTGGTCACAACCCAGGTTGCCCTTCTGGACCCCACTGACAAGTATGCCCCCTTTTTTGTAAAGCCCTCTGCGCTACAGAGAGGGTGTTGCATTTTAGATCCCCTCATCTCCACGTTAGCTCAGTACTGCGCAGGTGCTGCGCATGTTGTTTCATGGTATCTCAGAGTATCATCAGACGTGGTAGAGTGTACGTTTGGGTTAATAGGTATGTCATAACTGGAAAGGATGAGTGCTAAGAGGTGACGGACAAGTGAAAGAAATGAACAGGCGAAGCGTTGGGTGTTTGTTTCTTCCACTTGTCTGTTGTCTCTGGGCCCTATTATCCTTTGCAGCAATCATCAGATATTGTGACACCTTTCTTTCATGGGGAGCTTGGTGCAGTACCTGCTCGTTTTTGTTGAATACCGAAGTATCCAAAAAAACTTTCAGTAAAAATAAACAAAAATATTACAGAAAAATATCGCATGATACTTCAGTCGAGTTGTGTTTTGTTTGTGTCTCGTAATTGAAAGCATTGCATCTTATGTCGTTTTTTCGCGTCTGCAGCAAGCCAACTAAAGTTGAGTGGCGCTACACGGAGGAAGGCAAGAAAGTCAGGGTTTCCGTGCGCACCGGCCGCATCCTGCCCATCCCACTCATGGCCGAGGAGACCATGGACTACAAGTCCAAGCAGACCTACTTCGGTGAGTTCGTTTGATGTGGCAAGCTCAGTTTGTCAAAATCCACCCTCCGTGTTGAATCAAGGACTCCAATCACCTGCCAGCGCATAAACACGGAACAGATGCTAAACTGCTAATGAGGGGAAAAATGCACGACGTTAAAAAAGGTATGCTTGAGGAGGCCGGCGAAGAGGAGACACACGAGTTAACGAGAAAAAAAATGGGAGTACATGGTAGTACAACTGTGGGGCCTGGAATAGTTTTGCAAAGTAGCAAATTAGCTCTAAATGTCGAGTGGCCTCTTCGTGTTTATAAATAGACAATCTTCCCTCCCTCCCTCCTCCTCTCTGGAATAGTATATTTGGACTGATGCATTATGCATCCTCAACTTGTCCAAACTTCGAAAAGTCTCCAAAACTGTAACATTATATGTCACATCATCCACTGGATGTTTCCTAAAAAATTTTTTTTACTAAAGCTTAGCTGACATGCCCTTTTAAGTGGAAGCAGTCACATTGAAGTATAAAATGTTTCATGGGAGTTGTTTCCTATTGTATGCCATATCATCTTCCCGCCATTGCAGCTCTGTTTGTCTATGGCATTAGAGACGTTTGATCGGTCGCGTTTACAGTTTGCTACGAGCATGCTGTTGGCCTAGATTGAACAGCGGCGTCTTGTTGCAATCAATCGTTTGCAGAGCAACCAAAGGATACAAAGGCCAAGGACTTGGAGAAGATCACCTACGTTCCAAAGTTGATGACCTTTGCACAAGATATCATGGAAGAAATGGGAATTAAGGAGGATCGAATCCCTGCAAAGACGTACTGGTACTAGGTTAGCTCCTGTGAGCAGGGAGCTGGGCCGTTTGTTTGTTAATAAAGTAAATGACTGTAGTTTTCCTTCATTGTGAAATGTCACCTGTTCCTAAAAAAAGTGCAGTCTTTTTCTCTCGACTGCTGAAGAGCAACTTGGCTGATGCAGAACGGCCGATGACCTAGCTTTTAATGTGCATCACTCAGCAGTAATAATATGAATGCATGCCATTACAATGTCCAATGTTTAGAGCATTGGCAGGACAGTAAATAGAACATGTGGAGTTCTGTAGTGCAAGCTAATGCTTCATGTGCTAGAGTAAGCACCTCATGGAGCTACTTTACTACATCCATGTAGCAGTAAAGTGAGCCACTGGCTTACCCTTATAAGCTCTATAAATGATACATTTGCAGTGACTTTCTAAAAAAATTTTTAGATGTTGGAGGCTTGTAGAAGTGAGATACTAAATGCTGCCAACCTTGAATGGTTAAATTGGCAGTACTTTTTTGCATGGGCAGCACAGGATTCCTGGCGTAACGTCATCCCAGTCCTGGAATTGCAAGGCCCAAGGCTGGGCCAACTTTGAGACATTCGGTAAACCACCGATTAGGGCAGGGGCGGCCAAGCTGACCCTGCCTAAGAGCCGCAAACAAAACCACAAAACTTCCAAGAGCCGCAGGGGAGGGGGCAAACTTTTGTCCAGAAAAATAAACGAAACTCGAACTGCTTTCAATCTATCCGAGTCAAAAGCAGTCCATTTGTACGTAAGGTAGCACAAGACTACCAAACCGCAACCTGCCTTTCGATTTAAAACGCGTTCCATTTCTCTTTTTGAGAAAGTTCTCGTGTGACCGGGAGGATGGTGGGGAAGGGGGGAGGGAGCCGCGAGCCGCACTTTAACACGCGAAGAGCCGCAGCTTGGCCACCCCTGGGTTAGGGCATAGGAAGATGTGACACACTAATGTTTGACTGAAAATTATACACTGCACAAAATTTATGCAAACAGCTATAAGCATGGCCAAACGCTGGATTAGTTGTGGCAATGTTGAACCAAGGCTATGCCGGCACATGTGTACCATAGTGCTTGGCGACACTTCATTCTAGTACTTGAAAAGAATGCCAAAGACAGTTTTAATATTTTTTGTAACTTACGAGTTTTACGATTGCAAGTAAGATTGGAAGGCTGGGATTTTCTTTTTCACAACTATATAGGTGCATGTTTTGTTTTTTTTTAGAAGAAAAACAGTGTTTGCATCACTTGCTTCACTACCCACTCATTGAGTGATTGTTGTAGAAAATTTGCCAGCAACAAAGGAGTCCAAGCGAAAATGGGCTTCTGACGTACCATATCCAGCAGAATTTAAATACTAGCAACAAACATTGACCATCAACTGCAAACTTGAAATGCACTTTGGTATCCTTCGAAATGCACAAAAGAGTTGACACGACATCAAAGATTAGTGCAAAAAAAGGAAGTAATGTTTTTTTATTACATTATAAGGGAAGGTTTGTACACAACACCTGGGCATTAACAACTTTTTACTCGCTGGGACCGTGCATGCAAGTGCAATTGACTAATACCAAAGGATCGGCTCTGGGGGAACAATTTCCACACAACACTGGCGTCGGAAATGCAAGAAATGTCCTCTGTTGGCTCCAGAGAAAAGCTCGGTCAAGAAACCACAAGCAGTAGCTTAAAGTGTTGCGCAACTTGTCTACAGCGACTCGTATCTGGTTGATATGGATCAAGTGGCGCATCGCTACGTGGTTTTGGGCATGTTGTTCTCACATTTTGGAGGGCACGGCAGAAAGTACCACATGATCGGCTGCGCTTGCAATCTCGACCAACAATGATCGGCCGAACCTGTCAACGAACGGGACACGGACCTTTTGGGGCTCCTGTCACGCTGAAGTGGCACCGACAATGTGGCCGTCTTAGCTAGTGTGGTTCTATACCCGGGGACAACTTTTTTTCTGGGTAGTGAAGCAAAAACTGCGTCACTGTTTGCCACTTCCAGAACAGTAGGCAAGAGCAAGCACGGAGCAGCACATTAAAAAACATTTTCATAATTTTCGTAAAAAGTCGTAAGTAGGCCATAGATTTTCCAGAGTTCATTTATAAGGGAAATTGACGCATGTTTTTCTGTCTATTAATTTTTTTAACGGCATATTTCTGTGATTTCAGATGGACGCTAGAAACGGTGGTTATTGGTGAACAAAATCTCGTGGAAAACTAAGAGTTCAAGTTTAAAAAAGGAGGGTTTCAATAAAAAAAAAATAGTCCTAGCTGGAGCAGAAATTTCCAGAAGGTGTTCCACAGTTTTAACCGATTTTGTATTTTTGACACCGACAAATGTTTATTGGTGTTTTATGGTTAAAACCGGAAAGTCTATGGCCTTAGCTATAAGTAACCAACATCTGCTTCACTCTATGTGGTCAACATAGATGAATTGGCGTGGTGCGAGGTTTGCATCTTGTGCTTGGTAGGAGTGTGAAGTTGGTTGACATTGGTTGTTTTTAAAGCGATTTCACTCTGAAACAAATTCACTTCAGTAAAACACTGCAAATAGACAGGTTGGTGTGCACAAAAGGTACGAGTTAGCTATTGCATTTTTGAGCTGGCACGTGCTGGGACGACGAAGGTCACGCCATTATTATAGGTGCGTGAAGTTGTACTTTGGCTTTTGCAACAGTTCGAGAGGGTTGTTCTGAAGTCCAAACACTGTGAGCACATAAAAACAGTGGAAAGCACCAACGCACAGAGCAATGTAACACCACCAGTTCCCAAGTTACGGAAGAAGTACATGTTAGTCGCAGTGGGGTTCGGGTACCACATTGCAGCAGCAAACTGCCACTGACCTTTGAACTTGCAAGACGTAAAGGAATAACCAGCTTATATCCGCCGATCCTGTGAAAAAAGAAGACAGACTCGACTCTGACCAGCCAAGCGTAAGCCAGTTTCAACTTCGCTGGTGGGTAAACAATCATTTTTATTGCGATTTGGTTATTGTTGTTGAGTACACTATTTCCGTGGCATTTCGCGATGCTCACAATTCTGCGTAACTGTTTACTTAAGGGTATATGAAATCGTTTGTGCTTAGGTCATGGAGTTGGAGGTCAAAGTACAGAGTGCTTTCATGCTGTGAAAGACAGCTTGGCACAAGATACTTTGGCACAAGGAGAGCCGTAGCTAGAGGTTTTTATCAAGTTTATCTACTACTTAAAAAGCTGCCTTCGAAATGAGCAACGCTTTGGGCCAAGATCGCTTATAGCGCCGGGGTTTTTGGAACCTCGACCAATACCCAAGCATTGAGAGGAGTGAACTACTAATCTTTGTTCTGCAAACATCAGTGGCTTAAGCAAAATGCTGACGGGAGTCTCCTTTTCATGTAAGGAGTTGGCATCTGTGAGTTACAAATAGATTTCTGCACAAAACGAACACCGCTTTTAGTAGTAATCCTAAAAGAATATATACAAGTTGAAACAATGCCACAAAAGACTCAAAGTAAGGCCCTCAAGTATAGCAGTCTATTGATATGAGGCCTCTAGGCTCTACTTGGCTAGAACGAGTCAGCCTCAAGAAAGCCTAAAAGCTTCCTCGACTTCTTTTAATCAACCATGTAGGGAAAAAAAAAGAATAAAAGGGTGACAGTACTTTAATCCGAGTTGCATGGCATAATCACAATTATTTGCTACGGGTTTAGGAGACTTACATATATATTTGGGCAGTTCTAAAATCAATATGAAAATTATTGTGGTTAGTATCTTTTTTTCTACACAAAGTTGGGCATGACCAGCTTGGGTCGGACTGTGGGCTTCATGGGCGGTAGGTAGGTAGGGTGGTCAGAAATCTCAGGGAAAAAAAAAGAGGGAGACTGGAGTCCCGAAGTTCTCTTATTCACTCCCGATGGCCCTATTGGGACCAAGCAATTTTTCCCACAACGTGACGGCATTGCAAGCAAGATGGTGGTTGTTGCAATGCAAGATGCGGGTTAGCAGTCCTATAGCCTGTTGCAGGTCAAGAGAAGGAAAACAGGCTCCTCCCATAAAGCCTCGCACCCTTTCCACTTTAGCAAAGCGAATGCTAGAGATGAGGAGAGTGGAGAGGAGGAAACAACCAATCGTGGCAAACGGAGAGCTTTGGGGGGGGGGGGGGGCTTCTCCTTTCCTTAACCTGCAACTGACTGTAGAACGAATTCAGCCCCTAGATAGCCGCAGTTCGGTGCTAGTGATGTAAATCGTCCTCAACAGCAATTCGGGGATGCAGAGACTGTCCAACGGTCCGGAAAATCGTTCCAACTGAAGCCAGCCGACGGCCGACATGGGTCGGATTGTGGTTAATGCGGTTCGGCTCTGACCCTATTGCGACTTGACAGATCTCGCAATCATCATGATGTAACTAGGTGGATCAAAACTGTTAGCAACTTGCAGATATTATTGAAAAATGTTAGGAGACTGATGGCAAGAGATGCGTGGATGATGGTCCAGTGACCTTGTTTTTCTCGCGCCTTTAACCATGAAGGAAATTCCCGGTCACAATAAATGCGGCTGCCGTTCCTCGTTTCTTCACAATGCAATCAGAAATAAAGACTATACACAGAAGTTATTGGCCTTTGAAGAAGCCTCCACGAAGAGGATAACATAATGGCAATATAGGAGGCTATGAGCTTGTACTTGTACTTTCGACGATAACTCGCAGCTGCGAGCGTTGACGGCCGAGATTGACCAACGACCGCTCAACAGGTTAACTCTAGAACTTGCTTCGCCCTTATCTAGCTGTCGGGAATGCTACACTTTACTGATACAACAGACACTTTGAGTAGCATCTCACTTCCAAAACTTTTACCAACACTTTGGCAGCCTCCCACTGCCAAAGAGTCTGTTATGTCAATAAAGCAGATTTCAAACAGCTAGGTGAAGGCCTTATTGATGTAACAGTACACTTTTGGCAAACACCTCGTCGCCAAAACTTTCAATAACACCTTCCAACATCTTGTCAAAAACGTCTGTTACATCAGAAAAGTGTCTTGATCTATCAGTATAGCCTTTGCCTTTCAAACATCTATGCGAGAGCTTTCTTTTAATAATATAAAATACCATTAGCAAACATCTTGTTGCCAAAAGTTTTACCAAAACTTTGGCAACATCTTGCAGCCAAAGGTGCTGGAAAAAGTTTTGCCAATACCTCATCTTGTCCTCAGACTTATCACATTCTTTTCTTCCCTGCGGCACCTGTCATCAGGTTTCTGTGCAGGGGTGGAGTGTAGCATTAGGAGAGGGACGACCCAAACTCCTGGTGCCAAGTCTCGTAGCGACTGGCAAGCAACTTCCCCGTCGGCTTGGTCTGTGCAACAGCATCCAAGATGTCGCGTGTCGACACAGGTTCTGGCGCGATGTGGTCGCTCAGGTCCTCCTCTTATGATCGCCCGACGAGACATAGCATGATGAGGCAGCAACACAGACAAGGAACCAGAAGGACAACATCAGGTGGTGCATGCAAAGTGACACTTGTTGCCAAGAGTTGAGAGCAGGGATCAGACGGTGCTTACCGGCACTGCAGGTTTCGGCGGCCTCTAGTGCCTGGCGCAGCGAACGCATCACTGCTTCCTTGCAAGCAACCTTAATGTCTGATCCCGAGTAGCCTTCGGAAGCCTTAAAAAAAAGAAGGCAGAATAAGAAAGTGATGGGTAATGAGTCTTGGCTAGACTTGGTTAGACCCTCGCTCTTATTGAGCATCACAGATGATTACATCTTAAAATGCAGCTTCCTGGAAGCTTTATAGTGGACCCTGAAAAAGCTAACGCTTGTGTCATGCACTGAACCTAAAGGCACCTTTAGCTCGAGGACCTTATCTTATTTGTGTTATGTTTGTGTGTCTCAGTTCTGTAAAAGATTTTATCATGTTGTATTATTTTGTTAAATGGAATGCATTTCTATGTTATTTTTTATGTGTGGACTGTAAAGGACCGGTGCCACATTAGGCTTTTTTAGCCTTTTGCACTGGCCCTTCTTTCGGGCTCTGCCCGAAGGAAAACAAATAAAGAAAGAAATGAAATCTTTATAAGGGTCATAGGATATTGTACAACATAGGTGCCAGTCTGTTAGCGAAATGCCGGCTGCCACTTTGAGACTTCCATCTGGTTCCTTTTCAAGTCTCTCTCACCAGCTGTGACTACAGTCCCTCTCCATTACAGTTACATCTTTGAACATGAGACGTGTTTAGATGACTACCATTGCGAGGAAGGCAAAACTTCTGTAGCTATTGTCTCCCTTAGTACTAATATACTATATGTTGCTTTCTTTCTTTAGCATTGTTCCTGCTTTCTCTCTGATAGTTGGGCATTACACCGAGGTATCAAGATTGCACAACAGTTGCTCACACGGCATGCAGGACCTGAGACTACAGCCCTGACCCTCATCTCTTTCCTTGGATGTCACAAACACCTTGTAATGGAGCACGCTGGTCACGCGTCCGACCAACTGTCAGATGGCTACCTGGCTGGTCATTGGCCACACACTCCGCATCTGCTGACTGGCAGTTAACAATGAGCAACGAAAATTAGGATATCTTCAACATCTTTTCAATGGCTCTGCAGGGTCCCACCAACAAGGAGTTAATGCTGCAGCATGCACATAGTGCACAACAGGGAAGCCAAAGCTGGTTCCACCATACCTCGCTAACAAGGCCGTAGTCCACATCCGGTGCCACGAGGGAACTGCCCCGGCGGCCATCTTTTCCACCCTGTCCAGCGAGGAACTTATGAAAAAGGAACGCCCGGGCGTCCTTGCCGGGCAGCGGCACCAGAATCCGCTTCTCCAACCTCCGCAGCACGGCATGGTCGAGGTCCCTTCAAAGGGTCACATGACTCCATTTTGGACATTAGCCTTCAATGACACATTGGTGCACTCGGTGCAGCAATCCAAGTAGTACCGTATTGACTCGAATATGGGTTGACCTTATGGTGCAAAGCAGTGAAGCTTAATCACAGCCATATAGAGAGAGAGTTTGGCCATTTACTGGGAAGTATAGAAGGCAAATGAGAAGGCGCCATTGGCCGAGAGCGGGCTGGGCATGTTCCAGGGCACCTTCACAGATTCGAATGTGGACAGTCAAAAGCTGTGAATAGTACCCTGGCAGTGGTCACGAGAAACAAAATGAACAAGTGTGTAGGAGTAATTCTCGGTGACTGAAAATATGCTGCGTGTGATTTTTCGGTCATGGTCATGCAAAATCAAAATTTAGGAGAACGATCAACGTAATCCGTACGCCAGACACCGAGGGCCGGGAAGATGCCGTCTAAGTGGACAGAATCCGACCAAGCAAAGCAGAGTTTGAGTGGCACATTCGATCCTTACAATCTTTTTGTAATCGAAACATCACGTGCACTATATTTTCAACCATGAAGAGTTACTTCATTTAACTCTTACACACTTATTAAAAGTGCTTCTCACTACCATTGCTAGAGGATTATTTTCAGCTTCTTGTTGGCCAAGAGAGCATGTCAAACCTTCTATCTGTATCCCGCTCCTCAAATTGACCAAACTCTCTCTATACACTTTTTTTTACGTGGGTGCCGCCATCTTAAATTCTGGAACTTCCGGTATGCGTAAAAATATTGATTTCTTCTCGCCTCGCCAGTAGAACGTGTTAACATTTTAATTGGAACCGTCAGTCGTTCTTGTTATGCCACTTCTATATTTCATTACTTGTTCCTGGTTGTTATCGCTTGTTTTTTCTTCGGAACGCATACCGGATACGGGGAAAGCATGGCTGGGCGCAAGGGTAAACAAAAAAGGTGTATATATGGCTCTGAGCTTGATGTGCCCCACCAGCCGACCGAGAGGCTCTGCCGCGGTGCACTGCTGCAAACTGGTGAAACTTGAAGAGCCCCTCGAACCAACCGAGATGCTCCACCGCGGTGCACTGGTGCATAGCAGTAAAGCTTAATGTGCCCCTTCAGCCGACCGAGAGGCTCTGCCGCGGTGCAGTGGTGCAAGGCACTGAAGCTCGACGTGCCCCTCGAACCAACCGAAATGCTCCACCGTGGCACATGGGTGCAAAGCAGTGATGCTCGACGAGGGCAGCACAGTACAAACGTTGCGGCATGGAGGCAAACGTGACTGATATCATAATCACGTGATTTTATTGGGAGTAGGGGTCTGGCTCTGTCTTATCAGAAGAGCTGCCCTCTCATTACTTTGCAAAGCAACATAAGGTTCAACCCGTCCTTGAGTAAATACAGTATGTTCAGTTCCCTGCCAGCAACCTTCGTCGTGGCATGCTCTCGAGAGAGACTCACCACGGAGAGTTGGAAGTGGCGAGCACGAACACGTGGTCCTTGGAGTTGATCAGTCCATCCATCTGGATGAGGAGCTCGCTCTTCATGCGCCGACTTGCCTCATTTTCGCTGCAACCACACGGACGACGGTGAAGCCCAGAATGTGTGTGCAGCAGGCTCTTAGAACAGCCCACTGATTCCTTTCCAGAAACCATGAATACAGTGTACCCCCCAAGTTGAATGCCTCTATAGCTTGGACAACACCGTAAGTGAGACAGTCTAGGTGTCAAATTAAATTAGTGAGAGCTTTACAGAAAAAGATTTGAGTTTTTAAAAACTGTACTCCTAGAAGGTTTCACTGAGAAAGTAGTAATACTGAAGGGCAAATAATTCACAAAGTTTAGAACTTCCATTAGAAATGGTGCCAGTCAAGTTCTTGACTGACACCATCTAGCCAAAGACCAAGAAAAATGTTTTGTTTTTTTTCGGCAGAAGTTTTGCTTATCACAAGACAAGAAGACTAAGTAGTATAATGAAGATGTAAGGAATCTAGCAAACATCTGGCACGGTGTCACCTATCTAGAATTTTCCACTTTTCTGAGCTTTGCATTAAACGATTTTACTGTACATATTATAAGCCATAAATTTCAGAGACATCAATGTGCACATGACATACTATTACCACAAAAAACATGCACCTAAAATTTTGCACCAGATTCAAATGAAACTACAAACAGTTACAACGGCTGTATCAATAAAAATCAACTTTAAAATAGTTAACCTGGTCACATGAGTTACCTGCAATTGTTCATATCAACTCTGCATAAGACTCTTAAAAAAAAAAATTTCACCTGCTCACTAATGTTCCCCTGGCGCCAACGAGTGCATCGAGCTCGTCCAGAAAAATGGTTGATGGTGAGTTGTGGCGGGCCATTTCGAAGAGAACCTGTGGTCGTGGAAGAAAGATGCAAGTCGGTTATTAAGTATGATCCACGTGTGAGCATACCACAGACTGATTCAAGGCATATAAATTACAGTAGGGTGAAGACTTGGGCAAGTAGGATATATTTTCAGTCTCTGTATGTGCAGTCCACTTAATTTGAAAAAAATTATTAATAATTACCAAGTGGCCAAGGGTGTTCTTCTATGCCTATTTTTCGAGAGACTAGAAAACTGTACTCTTGGATACTGAGCTGTTTATTTGAATGGAACGACAATACGGTGCGAACGTCGATTTGCTCTTGTCTCAACAGCCGCCCCGCATCGCTTTGTCAAAACATGCCACAGAAGCATTCGGCAGCATCTTTTACATAATTTGACACATATTACATATTGCCGTCCAAAGAAAAAAGATATATTTTAAAACATTCCATTTATTGAATTGTTTTTATGGAACTACCGTAAAATACCGAGCAAGCGCCCACTCAAACTTTGGAGATAATCTCAAAAAAATGGGGGATGGGCGCTTTTCCGGTCATCAATTTTACATATAAATGTACTGCGCATATTTTCACAGATCTTACAGATTTGGGAATGGGCGCTTAATGTGGAATGGGCGGATGCACGGTATTCTACGGTAAGTGCAAACATGTCCAATGCATTTTTTTAAGCCTCCACAAAAATTATACAGTACATTCAGTGATGCAATTTATGCTATCCAACAAATCAGCAATGCCACAAAATATTTCGTCCTGAAGAAAAAGGATGGCATAGTAGGTTGCTAGCCTCACCCGAACTAGCTTCTCCGACTCCCCCCTCCATTTGCTGACCAGCGTGGACGCAGTGATGTTGAAGAAGGTCGTCTTGCATTCGGTGGCAACTGCCTTGGCCAGCATCGTTTTTCCCGTTCCTTCATCAGACAAAACGTTAGGATTAGCACCCGGACTATGGTTGCTTCAAGTGCCGGATGAACAGGTGAGGGTGTCTAAATACATTAAGATCATCTGGCGGGCTAGCTAAATACATTTAAATGTCTGACCAGACGACTGCAGATTTAGATGGCAAAGTGCAAATGTTGACTTGAGGTCTTTTAAGCCCCAAAAAGAGATTTGTGTGTGCCACAAATTTTATGAAAACACGACACGCTACTGTGTAAAGATTAAAAAAAAAATAATTGGGACTCGAGATCCAACGTTTTACCGCAGAAACCACTCAGGGCTTCCACCCCTCTTTTCTCTAGTCACCTGTTTGATGACAAAACTCGAAGAATATTGGAGAATATAATAAACCACCTATGTGCATCTTCGTTCAAAAATATATTAGGATAAGAAATAAAAGAATGAATTCTGTGACCACCTAAACACCAAAAATGTGTTGATTCAAGGAAATGTGAGGCGTGATACAACCAAAGTTACATATAAAAATGTTAGAGTAATAATAATATAAAAAAAAGCTGCCATTGGTCAAATCCGAAGGTTGCGAAAGACCAAAAAATACCACCTGGTGGTCCGAAGAGCAGAAGCCCCTTCCAGGGGCCCATGATTCCAGAAAAGATGTCAGGATACTGAGCAGCGTGCAACGACAGAGCGGATCCCCATTCATATCCAGTGAAGCGGTAGCGTCCATCTCTTATTAGACCACAATTACGCCACTGAGTTCTACAACGTACCTTCATGGGATAAATAAGGGCCTCCTTGATAAGCCGCTTGGCCGAATCAAGACCCACAATGTCACTCCAGTGAACATTGGGGCTGTCCACATACACATCCTGTCATGGGAGAAGCGTATCAAAAAGCAGCCACGAGTAGAAGTAATTACGAAAAAATATCAGACTGTAATTGGTGGCATATTGTCAGCTTTATCTCTTTCCTGGTTGTGCCCATAGGCTGTCGATCACCGGTGATCGATGGCATTCAAGTGTTGTCAAGGAATTAATTTTAATGCAGAGAATTATGTTTCACAATGTTGTGGATAGCCGAAGAATTCTAGTTTTGGTTTCAACATAGGTTTAAGCTTTATCACAAGCTGTTTGGCTGTCAAAAATAGTCGCGGGAATGGTGGTTGCACTTGTCTAACATGGCTAACTGCTTGCATCAGTCTCTGTAACAAGGATGGCATTAGTTGCATAATTCAACTGTGTTGTGGTATACTTTTTAGACCTCAAGAGCTCTGGGGACGTTTTAAATTATATTATGGGGACACTTAACAGATGGTTGTCGGTAAGTGTCACTATAATTTCCAAGGCTGTCCTGAGCAGGCGTGCACATTTTATGTTCCCTACAAGGTGCACAAAAATTCTAAATATGAGCGAACTGCAATCAAGGCTATGACAAAACCAAGGTACGTAGAACATAAGAAAAGCATTCTGTAGGGGATATGAAGAGTATTATCTGCGTTTCATCATTAAAAGCATTCCTTCATTGAAAAGCACACGTGTTACGAACGCCAACTCGCCGATGGACCAAAAATAGACGGCAGTTAGTGTACACTAACTTTCAGAAGTAATAGCCATGGGTGTGGGACATTTTTTCTATATTCTTAATTTTTCTTATTTGTTGTTTAATTTGACATAGCTGTAGAAGTTTAGTCGTTTATATGTCTTCTGCATGTACATTGTATTTTCAAGAAATAAAAATTAAAAATCTTTTTTCCACATTATATTAATTTGTTTCTTTTGAAAGAACAGCTAATTGGCCACATTTTGATGCGCCATATTTCTCCATATGCAAGTTAAGAAAATAAAAGCATTTGCACGGATCCTTTGAAAATTGCTACTTCTCCCGTGGTCAGAAAAGAGCTAATATCTCATAAACTTGTCAAAAGTGTCACATTCTTTAAAAAAATATTTTGTGAGAACAAGATTTTGTTTTGCAATCAGGTGAAAATTTCATTCATGGATTCCATGCATCGTTGATTTATTTGTGGGATCACATGCTTTCAAGTTTTTAGTTCCAAAACCTGTATAAATTACCATAAGCCACTGCAAAGTGGTATAAGCTGTTTACAGTCAATCATTGTCTGGAGAAGCCAATTATTTTCTATATTAAACAAAACTGTTTTCATTTGCTGCTTTAACAACATTGCTTCATTGTATAAACCCAATTTTCGGATGAGGAATGCCACTGCTAGCTTCAAAATAGACATCCGCAATTTATTCTGTAGGGGGTTCTTGTTGAGCTGCCAAGGCGAAATCAAGCTGCATAATTTTGCACAGTTCTTTTGGCATGCTTTCCTGCAGTCTAACATTACAAATCCAGTTGCCTCACTCTTTATTGGACCTATGAACTGCAATCCATAAAAACAAGCATTAAAAAATTAAAAAGAAAAGATTTTTATGATGCTACTAGCGGTCCATAACACTGGGACAAAGCATCAAGCGTGTATGCTTACCTTGGAAATAATGTCAACAAGGTTTCCCCAGTCAGCCCCCAAGCTAGTTCCAGCAGCTGGTGGAAACTTTAGCTGGGGCATTCCTGGTGTGCAGATCTGTCCAAATGACAGGTCACACATCTTCAACCTCTCAATTAACCAACAATGCTTTCACTACTGACAAAGAGACAATAAAAAGACGTGAAATGCCAGCAGTGTCAGCAACCCGCTGTTTCGTGGCACAAATCATGTAAGTTAAGATATGCAAACATTACATACATTGGTGTAGCTACCCTGGAAGAAGTGCATTATATTTATAAAAACAAAATGCAAAGGTTGCAGCTTCCAGTGAAAAAGTCTCTTCACATAATATACAATAACTTTCTTTATGTAGACCTACCTTTTTATTCTTATAGTATTAAGCATACCTCAAGTTATTTGGTTAGGGCATTATGTTAGGGGGAACACAAAATACAACATGCAATGACACAATTATTACTCACAGAAAAATCAATCTAGAATTAAAAAAAAAAACAATAGCAATGTTGATAAATATAATACAAAGAAATCCACACACAGACATGCATCATTCATGAGTTCTGCAAAGTAACAATTCACATGTTTGAATTTTACCCTATCTGAAATTTCCACAATCTTTTGGGGCAGAGAGTTCCACTCGCAAATAGTAAGCTGCAACGGGGAGTTGAGAAATTGGTTCGTACGGCATTTCTGTAAGGAAATTTTATGAAGACAATCGGGTCCAGAAAAAAATGTGATCAGGGGTAAGTAATAACCGCTCTTTTACGGGAACATTAAAATAATAAATGTCGCGAATTGCAAGATGGAAAACCTTACGTCTGATGTCTAATGAAGGCAAATTTGCTCTATGTTTCAGGGCCAACACGCTCATAGATGGCAAATAGTCCTCAAATATAAATATCTCTCATTTATATTCACATATAAATATTGATTTAAATATTCAAAAATATAAATATCTTAGTGAAGTGTTGGAAAAGAAGGACATTGGAATGGTGCCACTCTAAAAAGAGACTATAAATAGTAGACACGTCCTCAAACAAAAACACAGTGTTGAACGCTCTTGGCTTTTGTAAAGGTACAAAGAGTGTAACCAGAGTCACCCTAGAGCTATGCTCAGGCTACTGACACCCTTTTTCTTTATTTTACAATGTGACCACACTAGTTATTGATCTGTCTGCGTCACGTGACATCAGTCTCCATAGACCTTTGGGTACCCCTGTTTTATCATATGACAAGGTGCCACCATCCCCAGCCACTGGTGGCCACAGAAAGTTCCGAGATGCAACGTTTTACGTTTTGGGCCCTGAACATTAGGAGCCCACAGTGATAATAATTTGCTTTGTCACCCACTGCTCAAGCTATTTGGAGGGTGGTGCCAACTGTAACTTTCTACAGGGTTTGTCTACAAAAGCTGGCAACTCTGATACTACGCAGAAATATGACCGCAGTGACGTTACTCTTCAGCATATAATATTACATACCTCCAAGTGTCACTACATTTGTATTCTCACAAAGAAATATTTTTGTATAATAAAATAATAGTAAAGAAAACAGAAACCGATGCCAACCTGAATGCCAAGGCGTCGGTCAATAGTGATGTGCTCTGGGTGAAATGAGCTCTCCGTTGAGTGCTGCGGCATAAAACAAAGATCACAGCAAATGTAAACCTTTGCGAAAGAAAGCTCTAGAAAGCACGCTCGGCCGTCTATGCTGGCACAGGAATAATAGTCTGTTCAGGTCACAAATAAACATGCAGTCTAGATTTCCTTGCAAATTTGGCAAGTGCTGAAGTGCTAAGGCAGTGGTTCTCAAATAAGGGTCCGCAGACCCTTTGGGGTCTTTGAAGGCCTTCTTTGGATCCCCAAAGCCTTAGACCGTTAACCAAGCCGAACAATAAAACTTGTTTTTTTAATGCTGGCTGATTTACAAAGTTAAATAGACCCAACCACGTGCACTAAGTGAGAAGGGTTGATTATTCTCAGTTTTCGAGCCTCAAAGTTGGTTTGCTGGTTAGCATTAGGTAATTTAGTTTTCTTCATTTACACTTTTGTTACTGTAATCGCCCATTACCCTCTCCCCCCTCCCGGTTAATGGGGTCCCCCATCACTTCTGTTGATCCGGAAGGGGTCCTCACACCACTGTGCTAAAAGATTACAGGGGGTACTTTTTTTTTTTTTTTTGAGGACAAGAATTCTTTAGCTTAGTCAAGTTTTTCAGATTAATTCTTTGCAATTTTAGTTTAGTTCATATATATTTCCTGAAAGTTACGTAGGTGTAAATAGGCATGAAGCAATTTAAAAAATTTTTCTGCATAAAAAATATTAATTTAGACGGTTTAAAATCTTTTCATATCAACGTTCAAGGCTTGTTTACAATGAGCATCCCGAATGCCACTGATGACAATTTCTGCAAACAATGTGTATTTGAATCATGCAGTCACATGAACTTGCATAAGCAAGCGATTAGGAGTTTACTGGAGCCCTCAATGACAGCAAGATGAAGACAAATATTCCCGAAAACAGTAACTATGAAAAAAGGTCCAATAACACCCCTTTCTCATAGCTTGTTTGTTGATTGGCAATTCTGTCCTAACCTAAAAACAGAACTTTCCAAATAGAATGCTGGCAACCAAAAGAACTGGGTTACAAAGATGATTGCTATTGGGGAAAAAAAACAACACCTTTACAAGCTTTCAAAGGTTCAAGTGTTCCGAACAGATGAGGCAAGACAATCGACCCACCTTGAGTTTTGTAGGAGCAGATTCGGCTTTGGATTTGTCTTCGTCGGTGTTCCGGTGCAGCGAGCGTATCCGAAATGCGCTGACAAACGAGCCCCCACCATTGCTCGCCGTCTGAGTCGAGTGGGCTTGCGCAATCCTGAGTGGGCACAGCACATTTGCACTTGTGGGTTACAGCCAAGACCCAAACACGGCACCTGTGAGGTGCCATCAACACTGGCTAGATAGTGCAAGGCACCACAAAATTAAAAGGATTCAGTCATATGTACCCATCCATCCAAACAACTGTCATCTTGAAAATTAGGTTGCCTTTCATTTAATTACACATAAAAAATATATATATATTAGAAACTGAGTAAGGCATTGATTTTAAATATCTATAGCACTCGTTACATTATTTAAAAATGTCTGCTGTAGAGAAGTTTAAGATGAGGAATCAGTGGACCGTCAGAACAATGTAAATTGTTGTCTTAAAGGGACACTGACACCCCCCAAATTTTTTTTTTTATTTTTTGCCAGGCGCTTCGTTATGGTGTCAGAGGACTACCCAATTAATATTTTGCAACAGAGTAGCGTATTTTTTTAATAAAGCCAAAATACGCAACTGCTCGAAACCGAAACCGAAACCCGACGGAGGTCGGAGAAGTGGAAAGAAGAGAGTGAGTGGCGGAAGTCACGTGGCTACACCCGACCGTGTGTTTTTTTTTTTTTTTCTCCTTCCCGTAGCAGACGACATGCGGCGTACGGGAACTGTTCGCCGTGGGATTCTTTTGCAGTTATGTATGTTCCGCTCGTTGTTCTGAACTCCAAGATGAGTTGTTTTGTACATTGAGGAGTTGAAGATGAGTAGTGAGTGCCCGTGGTGAATTTTGATCGGCTCCGAAAAGAATACACCCAAGATGTTGCGTGAAGAGCTGGCTCACATGTCCTGCGTCCGAAACAGAAGTGGCATTGTGCGACAGAGTTTCCGAAAGATCAACGGGATCGGGACCAATGGCTGGCTGCAATTCCTGTAGACCATTTACGGGCACCTCAGAAAGCGGACGCTACCTGATTTATGTGCTCCTTGCATTTTGTGGAAAGTGATTACATTGAGTTCGCAGGTGTCAAAAAGGAAATCCCATACCATTTAATTCAGCGACGTGTCGTCCACATCATTTGTTTCTTTTTTTTTTTCTTCAGTAATAATTGTAAAGAAAAAAAAAGAAATGTAGAGATCGGAAAATATTTGAAGACAAAAAATAAAAAAAAAGTTTCACGGGGGATCGAACCCGGTCCTACCGCGTGTTAAGCGGACATCTTTCCCACTGAGCTACTGGGACATATCGAAACTGGGATCTTTTTCCTCAGTAATAATTCAGCCGATAAACTATAAGTTGGAAAGTTTGCTGCCGATTTTCCTCTAGCAAAAGCACTCCCGGGTCGAAGTCGGGATGCACCAAGCATTGGCGACATTCTCACATAGTAAAGAAATCGTACGCGTGCATATTCAACTCGAAGTAGACACGTCGTGCTTGACGTTTGCGCGAGCGATGTCTTCAGCGACGAGAAGGAGCGACGGCTCGGCGACGTCTTCGTGCGAATCGGCTTGGTGGTCGGGCGTGTCGTGCGGAATGAATACCAATTCTTTTGACCAGTCCCAAATTTCTCTTTTAAAGGCAGACAAAATTCGCCGGTACCGCGAACGACAGTTCTGGAATAGAGGTCAGTCCCGCGCCCGTCGTCCGCTGCCATCGCCGTCCCTGCGAGTCCCACGATACGCGAAACGACGCACGCACAGAATACTTCCGGTTGTCTGTGGAACTTTTTTTTCAATCAACGTATTTGCAGCTTTTTAGAAGCCACAAAAAATGGGTTTCATATTTTTTTCTATTTTTAATATTGAGTGTGTGCCTTCAGTGACCCACGACTTTGATTAAATTTGGTGGTCGCATCGATACCTTAGAAAACGGCCCGTGACCGCGGAAAAGAGAGTGAGCGAGACTCGAACCGGCCAGTTCTTGATCGGCGGTTTTCGGGCGGAAAGAAACCAAATTTCGAACCCCAAATTCTGTTCTGGGTAGTTAAGCTCTCATATGTCACGTAAAACTAAAAACCTCGGCGAGCATAAATACCCTGTCAGTGTCCCTTTAATACATATGCATTCTTTTTTAAATATCTTAAAATAAATGGTAATGTTCACAACATTGTGTAGCTCAATTCTTATATGTAAAATAAAACGACAGCAACTGTCTTGGAAAGCTATGACATATCAAACTTTTCCATTTATCAGCTAAGCTAATCAAACGAAAACAAACCTCTGCTGGCAAAACAAAACATAATGAAATGAACACTACTTAGAGTTTATGCACAAGTAAAAAAAGAGCAGAAGCAATGCTACAGATTAAGAAGCTTCAGGGTACACATGGAAACCACACATAGCATGACGAAGGGCATCCTCAAGAAGCATTGCTTCTTTGTATCTTTTCTGAGCATGCTTATTTTTGCTGCTATATGTGTCCTACACCTCCCTTCACACACATGGTGGCAGTACTTTCTGGAGTTCACATCCTCACCAAAGAAAGCCAAATTTGAGGAGCCAAACCTTGTTCCTCAAATCCACTTTCCCACATTGCAAGTGTGCTATGTGGCAGAACTTACATGCAAGTAAAACATAGAACGAAGCTTTTCCACATCATGTATGTTTCACAGTACTCGCTTCAAGCCGATATGAAGAGCCTAAGCTGCATGCTAAATATTTAAAAATCACTCAGCTGCTGCAGTAATGTACACTGCACAATACAGTGTGCACAATCATGAAATCAGAGCCTTTTCCATATTTTGCTTAGACATGACATTAACAAGCATCACATTTAACCACTCATCAAATGTTGATGCTCAAGTTGGCGCCCTAAATTGGAACTTTCCACCACACTAATAATTTTGACGACCAACTGAGTTAGCACGACTTGGAAAGGTAAATCTCAGCAACTCTTGCAATAGCAAACATTTGCTTCGTGTCATCAAAATATGCTTTGAAACAGTTGCTTCATATATGGAACAATGAGTTGTTACACACTGCGAGAAGAAGCACTGAACAAGACACAAAACTTACCTTGCTTTGGTTGTCTTTGTGTGGTTTACCATCGTATCCAGACCATCTCCTGTTAAAAAATTTGGAAAGTCAGAGATATCATAAAGTTAAAATTACGTTAAAAACGAATTTACAAATAATAACCTGCTCGGAACAAAGTGTCGTCGAAATAGCACTCATCGGTTGGCAAGTCCCTTCAAATTAAAACAATATTAGTTTTTTTTTGTTTTTAAGAGCCATTGCATGTGTTATTTACAGTGGCTTTAGTTTTGTCTATGTAGTTTAATTGATGTGATGATAAACTACACTATTTTGGTAGTTTGTTTGTCTGGCTAAATCTAAGAGGAGCTATATTTTAAAATGGAGTACCAGTGTTGGGTAAAAAAGTACATTTAAAAAGCACTTGAAGTAAACTACAAAGTAAATGAGGTTTTGTACTTCAAGTAAAGTAGTAAGTACACTGGGTGCAATGTACTTAAAGCAAAGTACATTAATACAATATACTTTTTAAGTGAAGAACAAGTACTTTTTAACAATTTTTTTATGATGCCCTATACAGCTTATTATTTAAATTGGTACGCACTGCTTTAGGGGTAATCGGGAGGGGGGGGGGGGGGGGGGGGTCAGTTATTTCTGGAAATGGCGGAGAATATTCAATAAAGTCAAGTGTACACAGAGTAGTTGTTTTACTCTCGCTGGCAAACTATATTTTGCACAATTAACTTTAAGGCACTTATTTGTTGACAAATCATCATTTCATGATACAAAGTTAACAAGATCAAATTTGGGGAATGTACTTTGAAAACGGGAATTGTACTTTTCCCAGAAAGTACCAGGAAATAATACTTTAAGTGTAGTACAAGTACATATACTTAGAGAATGTACTATGTGTAGTATACTTTAGTATAGTATAGTATACTTTAAGTACAATGTACTTCCCCAACTGTGGGATATGGCATACCGTCGGGTCTCCGGATAATGTTCGGCTGCTTTCTGAACTTGACAAACTGGAATGTCTCATACTCTTGGAGTATCAGCTCCAAGTCAATGTTGTCGCAGAGCACATACTGGTCCAACTTCATGTTTGACTCCGTCTTGAGGGCCTCCACCGTCTCCAAGAGTCTGTTGTTTTGTTGTTTTTTGGATGAAACACAGTTTCGGAAAGAAGTCCCACATGCCAAAAGTTGGAGAATAAGCGACGTTACGGTATTTGCTGCCTATGCTCACCCATGGTGCTTGAGATAGTGAAGAATTAGCACAAGAAGGTTCCGCTTTCTGACCGTTGATTTTTGCTCCTCCTGTTACAAAGATATACCACATATTAGTATATATATCACGTATAAAGAGTCAAACAAATTAAATATAATAAAACAAAGGGAAAATAATCAGGACACATAGTAAGAGAAGGTATACGCAGGTATAATCTCAATCCGTGCCTGCCAACATATATTATTGCAGCTGTACGATATCTTCAACATGCGTTCAAAAAAAGGTTGAAACCAACCGCTTCAGCGGCCATGTAGCGACAAGACGGCGCGTAACCTTAACGAATTGATTTGATAAGAACTCACAGTGTCGGTAAGATGACCAGCAATAAACGATCTTGTGGTTTTCGATTCGGCCATCTTTCTGAAAAATGAATGAAACGGGACACATCGAACTCGTTACGCTCCGGCACAGTCTGTGCGTCATTGCACTTTGACAGCGAGCTCGACAAACCTCGTAGAATACGAATAACGCCTCGTTCCTGGCACAGACAGGGTATAAAACGACATTTTCACGCACTGCGTTCGGGCGAGCGCCCGAATTCCGTACAGCGCGTGGAAAATTGATGATGTCTCGTTTCCGTCCGTCGTTTTTCTGTATATATGTATTTTATGTCGCGAAGAGCGGTCCCAAAGGGACTATTAAGACGGTGTAAGGACCGTCGAACAAATCGCTGGGCGCCTGCGTCATTATAAATAGGCCATTGATCGCGAGTGGAGCTCGTCCCAACATCACGCGAAATCTATCACGACAACGGGTCCGTTTCGCCTTTCCGTCCGTCGCAGGCAGCTCAAAGTGACGAAACGAGCCCATCGGGTTTACCTTCGCCGTAAAGGTGGTACCGAAGCGAGTGGTAATTCAGTTAAAAGACGATAAACGCATCTTTGAACTTCGGAACTGCATCGTGCCGTCGGCTGTCAGGTTCCATCAGCTGAGCGACATTGCACCTGCGTAGCTCGTGAGGGCGCCACCTCCGCAAGAAGGTGGACATTATCATCATCACCATCTGCTTGACGTTATGGCGGCGGCGGTAGCCGAACTAGCGACCATTCGAGGTGAAAGAATCAAATCTGCCGTTTTTCTTAGCTATTAAGTGAGTTAGTTTTGCCGGCACCGTTGAAGATGGTGTTCTTAAGGTCCCATCACGTACGGTATTTTCAGCGCTGCCTTAAAGTACTCCCCTGTGCCTTCGCAACTTTGGACGATGTCAGGCGAGTTTTGCAAACCACACCTATCAACTTTCGCGGCACGATTCGTTTTCGTCATTTTTATTTTTTGCGGGGGATTTGGGGGGGGGGGGGGGGGGGTGAATTTGTATTGTATTTGCAGCTGACAGGTTCGTTTATATATATATATGTCCGACAACAAACGCTGCCGACTCAATGAGCGCAGTGATGGAGGCCGGGGATATCAACTTGACCAACTGATCCGCAGGTATCTGTGCTGTGTGGCCAACCCTTTCGATAATTTAAATGTCTGGAGACAATGTATCCCCCATCACCCCAACGTCCCCGGCAAGCTCAAAACAAAAAATCAAAGAAAAAGGCTGTCATTGAGTCAGAAATGAATTACTGAGATAGGTACCACTGCGGGTATATCTGTGGAGGTCGAGATGTGCGGAGCTTGAAATCAGTGCATCACTAGCCAACCATAGTGATGCACTGATTTCAAACCCCGAAATCTTCGTTCGTTACATTCTCGTTACATTCGGCACATTCTCGATTTTCAGAATGACGATAGCCTACTTCGCAGTCTCTGGGCTCGATCTACTCAACGCATTCGATGAAATCGAAGATCCCAACAGCATCATTGAATGGATTTACTCACTCCAAGTGCTGCCAGACAGCAAAGGTAGGCCGTCGCTTAAGGAAATTTCAATGGTCGCCGACAAAATGGGAATGGCCGGGAGGAGTTTCAGTCGTCCCCATCCAGCGTGAACTTCCTACCTTCGACAATGCTTTGGCAGAAGCATTGTTGAAGCACCGGGCTAGTATGGTGAAAGGCAGCAAGCATGTGCATGCGGGAGGTTGAGCGTTCAAAAGAGACAGTGGGCCGTTCTCCTTTTGTCAGTGACTACAGTGGCAAGTAACGCACAAACTTGGACAAGTGATGTCGAAATGGGGATCTAGGTCTAACTTTATCCTTGTCCATTATACACAAACTCATCTCTGTTACGTCACGGCACGGTGGTGGCGCGTCGGACGCACTTTCGGTCCGGGGCTGTGGGCGGAAGTGCCCATGTGAGACGTGTATTCCTGCGTTGTTTTGAAAGGAACCAGACAAAACCTTCCCTTGTCGAAATACTGCGACTGGGGCTGTACCAAAAGAGTCGAGAAAGGTTTGAAGGTCAGTTTTCACGTGCTCGGTTCGTCCGAGAACGTGGATATGTGCCCTAAAAAGGAAAAACCAGACGCCGTCGGACCACGATTGCTTGGGCGGGATGCATTTTGGGTTAAATTCACAGATACTTCTGACCATCAAATTTATTTGTGTTGTTCCAAAATGAACGCCGGAAAACCGTCAAATTGTACGGACCACCTGCGGACTACGTTCAGTGCGTCTTCAAGTTCAAACGGTCACCTTATCGTTCGAACTGTCGTCTGCTCTTTTAAACGTTTCTGCTTGTTGTCTGCTCTTTTAGAGGACACCGGCCCGTAGACCAAACGTGGGCCCGGTACTTGCAATACGAAGTAAGTGCAGGCCTCAAAAGACTTAAATTTGAAGGTTGGTAAGCAGGCTCGACGTAAACAGTAGATACAAGGAGATGTTGATCATTCTTATCAGTGGCCATCACCGACTTGTTATGCCTGATTCACTTGGTTAGATTCTGCTTGCGATTTTCAGTATCGAAGTCGACCATCTCAGCTACGGTTCATGCTCTTGCAGTCCAAGCGACGTCGCTACTGAAAATTGCGAGCGAAATCTCATCATGTGAATCAGGCTTTAGCGTACATTCTGCAGCGTCCACGCGGAATGAATCGCTGCATGTCAGATTATTCACGCAAAGTTTTGCGGAGTAACGAGCCTCGTTAATTTTGCTGACGCCGCTCAAGTAGTCAGACATTGTTAGGAGGACGTAGAATCAACAATTCCAATGCTAAAAAGAGTGCGGGGACTCACACCGACGCCGACAACATTGCATTTCAATGGTTTGTTTATGGGCGACGGCGAACTTCTTGCCCACACCCCCATCGCGCATGCGCGGCGCTGGTGGCGTTCGCTAAGGGCGCTCCGGTTTGTTTGTAAACATGAGTTGGTGTATTGTAGTGATTGGAGTGTCTTTGGGGGTGTCGAAGTGAGCCCGTGAACATATTCGTTCCAGGTACCAACGTTTACAGATGTGGCTTCCGGGGATCGCAAGCAAACGGCTGTTGCAGTGGAGACGGTGATTCTGTAAGCTGCCAGTTCCTCCCAAGAAAAAAAAAATGTTATTTCTAAAGAGTCTGCTTGGGGACACGCGTAAAAAAAATAAACTTTCCACAAAAAAGAAAAAAGAATTTAGAGCAGTAATGACGGTGCGAGATTTATTTTAAATTCTCAGGGACAGGGGGCAGGCTGTCGTCTGCGTGTTTCTCTCCTCTGTCCCTGTCTTTTTGTGCGCAACATTAACCATGTTTATTCAATACCAACTCGCCCAACTGACCACCTTACGAAACGAGCAGAATTGCGATAATTGCTCATGCACTCCGCTGAAATATGCCGATAACGTCAAATACTTGGGGATGCATATAAACAGACATTAAATGAGATATTCATGTTGAGCTAATTTGTAAAAAAACATTGCGGATTTAATGGCGTGGATGTATCACATACAAGGTCTGGTCCTTTAATCCATACTAAGAATGATATACAATTCACTGGGCAAGTCCACACTTCAATATAGAATGACAGCTTCTGGACACTGCCAAATATGCACAACTAAAAATAGAATCGGTCCTAAAACGGATAGCCAAAAATATGGGTTACCTAAGTGAAGAAACAAATCTGCAAAATTACATGCATGAAGACCTAGGAATGTTGCATTTTAGAGACCGGATGAAGCATGATATTGCTTTGTAAAGCATTTTTTTCAACAACAAACAAAGTGGCAAATGCAAAAGAAAGAAGGTTAAGACCAAATAGAAAATTATTAAACCATTTATTTATACCAAATATAGAGAAGAGAGGCCACAAGAAATTATTCTGTGCCCAAGATTTTTAATGAATTACCTGAAGAGCTACCCAAGATATAATCCCCAAAGTAAGAAAGCTGTCGAAAACATGGAGACTTGAACAGAGTAAAAAACAGCCCTAGAGAATTGGTTCGCTTCAGTAAGTTGAATTGTAGTTATAACGACATGACTTAAGTAATGCCAACATAATACATTACCGCTGTTTAATGAAATAGTGGAGTAGACTGGGTATACTTTTCTGTAGATAGAAACTCCATTTATTTTGCAATGGCACGCTCTGGTGCAAGTTTCATAATTCTCTAATAAAAATGCAGAGGCACCTGTCGCGTCCCACACACAAACCAGTATTGGCTTGCCTATGTGAGATTTACATTTGAACTGTATTTTAAGAAGCAAATAAAGATTGATTGATTGATTGAAACATAAAGAATTAATGTAAAACAGTGTATCTAAAAAATAAGAAAAAGATGTTTCATGGATTCTTTAAAGGTGTGTATCAAACTGTTTCACATCAAAATTTCGGTTCACATTGTTCTTGTTTGAGCCAGTTAATTTTCTTCAATTCTATTTTATTTGGACGAGAACAAGAAAAGCTAGTTTTGCTTTGGGAGAAGAACATAAATCCTTATTTTTCCACAAGTTTTTGACTTTTGCAGAAAAGAAGTGAAGTCCTACACAGTCTAGTAACTGTTTTCACTGTAAAAAAAATAGATCTTTTTCTTTTTTTTTTGATGGCAGACATTTTAAATAAATAGCACAGTTTCTTTGGGAGTTATGCAACTTCAAAGTTTCTCATGCAGTGTGTGGACTGGTGTGTCCACTTAATCAGTCAATGATGAAATACACTTTGTTCACACCTTTGGGGAAGTTGCGAGCTTATTTGTGTCAGATCTGCGGTGCTGTCGTTCGCATTCTTGACAGAACCTCTTGAAACCATCTAAAACCTTGACATGAGGAAAAGCTTAGTTGAGTGAAGAAACACAGTTGAACATTGTTTGTCAAAATTTGCTTTCTCTTAAAGGCCAACGACCAGATTCGAGATTCTGCAAGGCAGAAGATCCTCCTTACCATGGGGGAGGAGGAAATAGGCAAGGGTGTAGGGGGTAGAAGGGGGAGAGGAGGAAGAGAGGGAAAAGGGGAAAGCACGAACTGGTTGCCGGTCTTTAAGCACTGAGCAACCGACTGACGTCTCTCCTATTGTGTTGCAGGCTGGCACATCCCACGAGTTTGATAGCGGCCACATTGCCATGACCTACACTGCCCTGCTGACCCTCGTGATTCTCGGAGATGACCTGAGTAGGGTGAACAAGGTCGCACTCCTGCGGGCTCTCAAGGCCCTTCAGAAAAAGACTGGCAGGTTTGTCGGCCATCGCTGCGGCGCACTGCAAAGGTTCAGCAGCGACGTGCCACCATGCGTAAAAACGTCCCTAAACTTTGGATTATCACTAAGTGTGTTAACTATTGAAGGTAAAAAGTGTGTTACCCATAGAGATAAGGTTAATGTGTGGTTGTGTTTGTGGAGCTACCACCATGCATTACTGTTCCTTGTCTTATTATTTCATAGGCACAAACGGAAAGTAAAGGTTGTTTTACTTTGCTTGTGCGGCAAGAAAATCTGCAAATGCAGCACACACTTTGGCTGCCATCCACGGCATTTTTACGCACAAGTTATGTCGAAACTGAAAATTGCCAGCGAATCGCGGAATCATACTATAATATGAAGTCTAAGACATTAGTTTGCTCATGAGATCCGTTGATCTCTCATGAGCTAATGTACTTTTGTGCATATACAGTAAAACCTCGTTATAACAAAGTTGAAGGAGCGATCGTAATTATTTCGTTATAACCATTAGTTTGTTATAGCCAATGTCCATTTCTTCCCTATTAGCAAGCAAGGGGAATTATGATTGCTTTGTTATATCCATTAGTTTGTTATATCCCATTTTGTTATAACGAGGTTTTACTGTATTGATTCACTTTTACACAATCCCTTCATTTAACTCACTACAAAGGCACTTTAGCTGAATTGGATGAATAGGTGTCTACTCTTGGCATAATTGTCCAAATAATTTGTGCACTGTGATGAACAAGGCTAGTGGATCTGCTTTTCTGCAGAGACCAGACATGGTAATAGCACCAATGACGGAAGTGCTGCGCCATTTGCGCCAAATTGCGTCGTGAAGAAACGTCTGCTACATCTTGTGCCAAAGTGCCATTTTTGTTAAGAATTGTGCCACACCTGCACCAAAATAGGCAAAAATTTAAATTATTATTGGCTGACCCTAATAGGTGGAGAAGTGGAAGGAAAGGAAAATGGTACAAATATGTATTTCAGAGCGTCTTTACTCACCGTGTATTTCGTTTTATCTTACGTCAGGGTACATACAGTCAAAGGCTCGAACGCATACAACCACAAACGCATACTAAAAGCACAGGTCGCAGGACATTCGCTGCACTTGATTCGTTTAGTCGACGAAGAACCACACACAAAAAAGATGGACGAATGCCATGATGTCGCACTTTGACGCTGGTTAGTCCCATTGGCTCCTAGCAGCGGCTGCACTTTGAATTAAGGTGAAACAAAGTATTGAAATTGCTTGTTAACCGCGCCGGTCGGTTGATGCACTGGCGGATTGATTGCACACATCGTTTAAGTTTCCTTACAATGTCGACTATGTGAGGAGCTAAGAGCTGCGAGAAAGCATTGCCAAATTGTGGAATGGTGGCTACTGTGATGAGACAGAAGCAGGGTCTTGTACTCTCAAAGAGATCACTTAATTATCGTGTCTCCCACATGCCTCCATGCCGCCTCTCACCGGCGCACGCTTGTCGAGCTTTACCGCTTTGCACCGGAGTGCTAGGTGCAGCTGTTGACAGGGGTGAGTACCTGGGTTAGAACGATAGGCTGAGTAATTATGCTGAGGAATATTCCAGGTTTACTTTTCTTTTTGCCTTAGTGGTACGTTAATTTCAAATTTTAAAAATCTGCTCCGAGACAAAAAGAAAATGTGCATGCATTGTTCCTGCGCAGCTGTCGATCGAAAGAATGGCAAACTTTGCTTCACTCTGGTTCTAACGCTGCTAGGGAGCAGTGTCACTTACACGAGTGTAGGTTTTCATACCATTTGCGGGTAGTTGTTTTAGCAGTTCAAATAATAAGGTGTTGAGTTTGGTAAGTTCATAAAACTTGAGGGACACATTTTTGTTGACAGACGAGCTGGTTTTAGCAAGCATTATACTGAACTTGTATATACAGGCCAAATAAAACTATGGGCTGTAAAACTGCGAGGGAAGAGAATGTTTATCCGAACTGAAGTGCTGCGCTACGACTCATTTTTCATAAATTTTTTAGTACCCATTGTAGATGGAACTTTCTCTGACAAGAGCCTTATTTCTAAAAACAATGCTCCGTGTTCCTTTAGTGCCCTATCTATTCTTATTACAAAAGGTAATAAGTATTATGCTTCAGGATCAAAGAGGAGCCCTCAGTCATTATTAAAGATTAACTCATTTAGCGATGCAATCACTTTTTCATTTTCAAGTGATGTGCTAACAGATGTTGGCATCGGCTCCAAAAGGATCAGTGACCGCTCCAAACCAATGTTTTGTCTGCTACAGAACCTGCTACAAGAGGTCAAATGGCGCTTTCATCACTGTTACCGTGCGCAGCCAATCACAGCTGTGATTGACTGTGCGTAGTCGAAGCTGTGCATAGACAAGTGAACTTTGTTTATATAAGCAATGTGCAAGTTGTTTCACTAAATACAACAATAAATAAATTAATACAGATCGGTCTTCATCTAACTTGCACTGTCTTCGTCTGGTTGAATTCAAAGTCGACTTGGGTGCCGCCCTTTGTTGCAGCTTCTCGGCCTCGGTAAACGGAAGCGAGGATGACATGCGATTTGTGTACTGTGCATCTGCCATCTGCTACATGCTTCACGATTGGTCGGGGATGGATGCAGACGACACCCTGCGATTCATCCGCAACTGCTATGTGAGTTGATGGGACGGCACTTCTCTCTTTGGGGGAGAGAAGCTTAGACAGAATCGTGTGCTACCTTATAAATGTGTGTTTGTAATCGTTCAAACTGAAATATCAGATTCGGGAAATTGGTCCGTTTAGTTTTATGTAATCTGTCGCATAACTTACAACCAGAGTGCACGAGCAGATGTAAAGTTCTCGAAAGCAGTTAGGAGGAACCCAAGACAAGATATTGCTGGGAGTCCCAAGATGGTGGTCCTTGTTCTAATACAGTTTTTCTTTTTCCATTGACAGATGTCTTTTAGTGTGTTCAACAGGTACAGTATTAGAGTATGCAGATTTTTAGAAGGATGGTGAGTTGAACTAGTTGGTAAGCATTATACATGGTTAATGTCAACGAACAAAGTGAGGAAACTGTAGAAGAATACAGGAGACAGGAAGGACGCTGAACTCACAACTCAATATTTCATCCAGAAGAGAAGAAGAAAGAAGATGACATATGACCAACAGGCACGTGCTGATGGCACGAGAACTCTAGGGCGCGGGGCAATGGTTTTGGCGCATCAAAGTGTTTAAAAACAAAACTTCCTTTTCAGATAAAGTAACGGAAGGATGGCTCTTGCAGTGCTCCCCCAGACCTTGTATGATATACGCCTCGTAAATTTCTCTGGATAGTTTTTCCTTATATCGACCTATGATAGCGGTGCTGGCCAGATTAGGAGAGCAGGTACAGGAGTCATGTTCACATAACATTAATGACAGCTTTAAGGTTCAGATGGGGAGACTCCGGTCATCCGGGTTCTCATGGCAGGTGTTAAATCAGGTTGTGCGATCCTTGGTTAAAAAAGCAAAAAGGGGAAGAAGGTAGTACAGTCGACTCTCATTAATTCAAACTCGAGGGGGGCCGAAAATTTGTTTGAATAAAGCAAAGTTTGAATTATCAGGAGTTTCTTCCCATAGAGACGCATAGGATGGGACCTGCACGTTAGTTTGAATTATCCGAAAGTTTGAATTAAGAGATTTTCAATTAACGAGAGTCGACTGTAAGTGCAGTGTTGAGAAAAATGGGTGGTAGTTGTCCCATACCTGCACAAGGTATCGCACAACTTAAAAACAGGTCGCCCAAAAATATCAAGTTCCAGTTGTTCTCTCAGCCCTTCGAAAAATTGCCCAGATTTGTTCCAAGGTGCACTTAAATTTTGGAAAAAGTGTCTGCAATGAAATGTTAAAAGAAACACACTATGCAGTTTGTGCCCCGTACCTTGTGTGTTGTATACAGCATTCCCTTAACATGCGGTAGAACGTACATGGGACAGACAGGAAGAGGTATAAATGAAAGGCTACGTTAACATAACCTGTCTATGAGGTCGACGGTGGGGGGACACTTGCCTCTGCACAGTTAATCCTGTACCTGTTCTCCTAATCTGGCCAGCATTGCTATCATAGGTCGATATAAGGAAAAACTATCCAGAGAAATTTACGAGGCGTATATCATACAAGGTCTGGGGGAGCACTGCGTGAGCCATCCTTCTGTTATTTTATCTGAAAAGGAAGTTTTGTTTTTAAACGCTTTGATGTGCCAAAACCATTGCCCCGCACCGTAGACTTCTCGTGCCATGAGCACGTGCCGGTTGGTTATATGTCTTTTTCTTTCTTCTTCTCTTGTGCATGAAATATTCACTTCTGAGTTCAGCGTCTTTCCTTCTCCTGTATTCTGCTAGAATTTCCTCACTTTGTTCACTGACTTTAACAATGTGCAGATTTTATTTGGGACCCATCTAGGAAGACCGATTAGCTTAATATTTGAGCTATTCAAAGAAGATCTACCGGAGTAATATATTTTGACTATCACTAGCAGCAGGGAACTTGGATGATTTTCCTCTCCCTCATCATATTTTCTCAGTGTAACTTTCCGGTGAGATATACTTGGTGCAACAAGCGACTTCATGTTTGATGCAGGTCTTATCTTTATTTTTTCATTCTTGATCTCACTGAACTCCTCCATGAAAGAATGGACCAGAAGGGAAGAGAAATCTAAACCTCATCCATACTTATTTTTAGTATTTATTTTTTTTTTTGTCAGAAACTGGCACGAGTAATTGAGAGCTTGTACTTATTTCGTCCCTCATGAATGCAACAGGCTCATTCTGAGTGCTACTGTAAAATACGGAGCAACTGCCCATCCAAAAATTTGGAACTGGAAAAAGTGGGGAACGGGCGCATGTTAGGCTCAGGAGCAAGAATGCAGAAGGGGCACATGGTAGGGTGGGCTTCACCGTACAGCACTGGAGTGTCTGGAGAAGTGGCTGGACTAGGGAGAGCTGCTCGGTTAGCTAAGTAGGCCCAGAAGTCTGGGGTGTGTGCTTGGTACATCCTTTGCTTGGGTTTTAGACGTTTCAAAAGTAGTGGGCAGGCGCTTGCTGTGGCACGGGTGCATGCTCGGTATTTTATGACAGTTTTCTGAATTGTTTCATAATTCCTTCAAGTCTTTTTTTTTGCTTGGGTGAACAGCGTGTTGGTTTAAGTCATGGATGAAGAAAGAATAAAACAATTAAAACAGGGACAACACAACCACATCTTTCAACTAACAAGTTCTCTCCCCTACTCCTACTGGGTATAGTCGGCTGCTCGCTGTTGAAAGTTTACTCGTCTGTTGCTAGTTGAAAGATGTGTTGTGTTGTCCCTGTTTTAATTGTTTTATTCTTTCTTCATCCATGTCTTTTTTTTTTTGTGGTGCGGTAATTTTTTGAGCAGGCATCGTTTTCCACTTTTTCCCAGTGCTATGACGGTGGGATAGCTCCGTACCCCGGCCTTGAATCCCACGGTAAGTCAGTTTAGTTCTGGTGTACGCACATTTGGACAGCAGTACAGTAGTCTGCTACGGAATGTGACCAGTGTTTTCTCTGTGGAAGAGCACTTTGGCCAATGCAGTGCAATTACTTACCCGTGGTCTTGAACGTGCATACTGCATTGGTGATTATATTGCTAATACAGTTCCTGTTTGAATGGACACTGTCACGACTGGAGATTAAACTTGTGATCTACGAGATTAAACTTGTGATCTAAGAGTCCACAGTGCAAGCTTTCGCCCTGCATGGCACTAAGCTGAGGTGAATTAAAGCATTTTCGCCAATGCATAAATGATTTAACTTCTCCCAGGCTCAGTTTGCATAATCAGAACCTACTTTAGTGAAGTTATGCTTACTTTGAAACATGCTAGAGATTTTACCACCTTGTCTGAAGTTGCAAAATAACTTCTCTCTCGAGGGTTTTTCATTCTATGAATGTGTTATGGGCACACTAAAAACATTTGCATTTTTCTTTTAAATGCAGTTTTTTTTGTATTTTGTGAAGTGCGCTGCGACGCTTCTATGTATTTTCTTTTTTTAGAATTTCAGAGGAGCATTTTTCGATAGAATACAGCAAGCACAAAAAACTGAAGTGAAGCTTCTACGCTGTGAATGAAAGAGAAAATGTAATGTCACTGTGGCCTTTAATGCCTGTGAGAGTGTGTCGTCTTTTCTGCCGTCATCACACGCAGCGATAGCAAGAATTAGTTTGCAGCATTAAAAGTTTTTTTTATGGACCAGAGCATGGTTGGTAGTGTCCACAATATTTGTGCAACATGTCTCGAGTTAATAATAATAAAAATAGTAATGATAATAAATTTTTTTCAGGTTTCCTTCACATATCATCACATTCTATTCTTCCTCACAAAAGAACTATGCCAATCAAACTTACAAGTGTCGTTCAACGTCCTTTGAAAGCGAGCACCGTCGAAAGGGACGTTGTCCTTGCCTCCTTCCGCAGGAGGCTCCACATTCTGCGCGGTGGCGTCGCTGTCGCTGATGGGAAAGCTCGAGTCGACGCTGTCGGAGCGCCAGCTGAACCGGCTGAGCCGCTGGTGCCTCTTCCGACAGCAGTCGGGGTTCCAGGGCAGACCCAACAAGCCCATCGACACCTGTTACTCCTTCTGGGTGGGAGCAGCCCTCGAGGTACGGCAACACCGGGCCTCAGGTGGCGCAAGCTGCCACCCATCACAAAGTGCAGCCACCATCATGCGTTCGTCCATTCCCCATTGCAGCTGCTGGGAGCCTTCAAGTTTGTGGAGAGCGGGCGGAACCTCGAGTTTCTGGACTCGACACAGGACCAATTCGTCGGGGGCTTCAGCAAGTGGCCAGACAGCGATCCCGGTAAGTGTTGCGCGCCTCTTTTAGTCTTAAATTATTTACCGTCCTTCAAAATGTCTCATTGTTTTTTTCTGTTAGAATGCTCAGAAAGTTTGGTTCTGTCTTCTTCTTTTTCAGGAATGTTGGGCAAGTATTTTTGCTGAATGTAGCATTTAAACAGCAGGCAGCTTTTCTGTGCATTTGCCATTACGCTAGAGAAACAGTGGTGCAATTATGCGTGCTTTGTTTCTGTCATGGACGTTAGGCCACACCCACATTTTCATTTTTGTAACAAAACACAGAAAAACCGGGAGAGCAGTTTCGTTTCTTCATACTTTTGAAAGTTAACCTCTGAATAGCAAAGGTGTGAGTAGAGCAAAGCAAGTTGGAAGCGTCCGTCCATGCATTTCCTGCTAAATTTGGTGGGGAAAGTTGACGTCGCGTGACCTAAACGCCAATTCGATTTCCCCTCTAAATTTGGCGGGGAAATTAATGTCACGCTGGGTTAATGCAACTCACACGGCCAGCGTGACTGAGTTGCAGTTAATGTTGCAGTTAATGCGTTTTAGGACTTGGGAGATAAAGGTCACTGCCGATTTTCTTCATTGACAGATCCGATGCACACCTACATGGGGATAGCCGGCATGTCGCTGATGGGCGTCGAGGACTTGCTGCCACTTCACCCCGCCCTCAACCTGAGCCAAAGAGCACATGGGCACCTGCAGCAACTTCACAAAGCGTGGGATTCACACGCGGCCGCGACGGGGAACGAAGGCGAGGAGCGGACACTACACCAGGAGAACGACGTCGATCGCCGTAGCAAATTAACGTCGCACTGTGCCTACAGCTAACGTCGACGACTTTCTCGGAAACCGCGAAAGTCCTGCTCATGTACCGGGCGTCGGCCGCAGTTAGAGAGAAGCGCGTCTATTGCGTGGCACAAGTGAACATTGCAATCACGAAAGCTCGAACTGGGGTTGAACTTGTCCGATTCGGGGGCTGGGAGAGGTTTTCGGAAACTTTTGGCGAGGAAGTGCCGTTCGTTTTCCGGCGGCGGACGCTATTCGTCTTTGCGTATACTCGAGCTCAAGTGGTTGTCGTTTTTTGCATTTAGAACATTTCAGAGAATTTATTTTACCTTTTTAGTTAGGTGACATTGGGTTCCGACACTTGGGCCTCTTACCCATACTGCTGATGCCACGTTTTGAAGGGGGGCAGGGGGGGAGTTCGAGTGTTTGGCGACAGCTTTGTGGTATAAAAAAATGCAGTTGGCTTTTCTTGGCTGACGTTGTATAGTTTGTAATATCCTCGCCGACATGAGGAACAATGTGACGATGCATGCCATGTGCCATGTGCCAAAAGCTCCGTGAAATATGATGTTCTCTGAGGGTAAGATGCACGCTCGTAGTGCCGCTTTCTGCCACTGTTTTGCTTGTTAGCGGAAAAGTGAGTGTAATGGCCGGCGTTTGCTGTACACGACACGGATGCTAGGGGCATTACAGCAAATGTGTGTCTCGTCTGCAACCTGCTTCGTGTTTCACGGAGCATTTGGATGGTGGCACTGACAGTTTCGTGCGCCTCACGTCGCATTGCGTATTGTGTCGACCCAGTTTGTGCAGCGGATGCGGACTGCTACTGGTAACTGGTGCGAACATGTGAAACAGGGAGCGAGCGCGCTAGTGGCGGGTGCCAGATTCTGCGCCAGTTATAACACCAGCCCTGGGAAACTGTTCTTGGTAAACGTCTGTTTGCGACCCTGGTCAGCCCCGCGGGTCCTGGTGTATCTTAGGGTGGCGATATTGGACAGTTTTGTAACAGAATGTTTCTCTCGCTTCTTGGCCCTAGAGTGGCAACCCTCAGCCACTCGTTCTTCTCTCACTCTTTCCGGATCGGCGGAAGGGATGGAGGACTTCATCCGCCAGCTGGGAGGGGGAATATTGGACGATTGCAATTCCAAAGGGTGAAGAAAACTAAATGTGTGCAAACCAACTTTGAAAATCTAAAACAGAGAATAGTCGACCCTGCTAACTTGGCACGCATGGCTTGGTCTATTTAGCTTTGTGGAACAGCCAACATCAATAAAACAAATATGTTTTATTGCTCGACTTGCCTAACAGTTGAAAGCTTGGGGGACCCCGAGAAGGCCTTCAGGGACCCTTAAGGGCTCGCGGACCCCAATTTGAGAACCACTGCCCTAGAGCATGCTAAAGAGCGTCTTCCAGCTCAAGCTCTCAGCTTTGACCAGCTATTCGGCATCACATTACTTTGAAATTTTCCTGGGGTTCCATCCTCTCAGCGTTGGGCACTACAACTAGAGGCGCCCGACCAGAACAACATTAAGGCGTCCTATTTTGGAATAGGGTAATAGAATGACTTCAAAGTACTATGCAGTCCACTCAAAAGAAGTTACTACTTAGACACACATCTATGAGAAAACTAGCAAGCTTCTCTTACAAGGCCCACCATATCCGATGCCTGTTTATTTGTAATAGGGTAGTATTTGTATTACGGACACATTCTTGGCAACAGAGGAGTTTGCTGGTGCTACTTTGTTTTTCCGTACATTTCTCGTGTTGCGTATGGTCATTTTTGTCGTGGGTTTATGTAAGGCTTGGGCAACATCCAGTATTATGCGGCGGTTACGAGCCTGGAGCAGACCAACTGACAGCGTTGTTGACAAAGATTGTTGAATTTTATGCAAACAGTATGTTTATACGGTTGTTTTAAAGGTGGGTTTGCAGACTTTAAGGCTGGAAGCCACGAAGCAACACATTTTTGACTAACGTGGGAATTTGTTGCAATGTCGTCGTCATACTTGAAAATTCTTTGGCTAAAACATGTTTGCAGGTTTTTTGCGCGGTTAGCCCATTGTCTGTCCTGTGTTTTTGAAGTTAAATATATAAAAATGCTGGACAGATTTTATCTAATAATTGATAAATGCGCCCCCCCCCCCCCCCCCCGCCCCACTCAATCGCAATTTCTGGCAAACTTGCGGAGTTTGGGAGTTGTTGCATGTTGTCCCATCTCCTTTGGTATTTTCCCTGTAGTATGCAACAGCTCAGTTGGCATCCTACATGAATGCACATATATTTTTTTAGCGAGGACATATTTTGTGCACTAATTGAAAATGTTGTCATGAAGATGTCATGGTTTTCCAACCGGATGATGGCTTTGTAGATTTTTGTGACTGTCTGTGGTCGAATATCATTACCGAGTCTTCGGTGTGGTTCCGACAAACCTCAAGCGGGTATATGTTGCTACATGTTTGTGAAGTCGCTTGCGACAGGAAAACAAATGCAAATGAAAAAGCCTGCTTTGCAAATGATGAAGGCTAGGAAAATGAATGATGTAGTCACTGATCCATTTCAAAATGACTTTTTACAATTGAGCACACGTATGTGGAAAGGGAGGTATAGCATTATATCAAGGTGTAGTGGAAGATGTTAACGGTAAAAAACAGGCACCAAATTGCAAAGGACGAGATGAAGTACACACACAGAAGGGTGCTTTCAGCTTAGTGTGTGTACTTCATCTTCTCGCCCTTCGCTTTTTGGCGCCGTTTTTCCGACCGTTAACATGTGCCACTAGCTTGCCCAACTTTCCAGAGTATTCTAGTGGAAAGTTTTTATAATAACTTAAGCATCCATGAAAAGCAAATTTTGATATGTATAAAAAGCTATAATAAAGGCTCTTGTGTTGCTTGGATCGAAATGTTCACACTATATCCGGGAAACTAAACAAATGACCCCGGAAAAATGGTCCCAAGTGCAAAAAAGGAAAAATATGGCTCCTAAGTTCAGATGACAGGTAACGGGCAGCGGCGGGCCACGCCACTGCTTCGAGGGAGCGGAAGTTTGTTATAAAAACGAAACTGCCAATGTTTATCTAAACATTTTGTGCATTGTTTCAGATCATGCAGATAGCACAAAAAAAAAAAAAAAAAAAACAATCATCATTTTGTGGCATTTATTGCACAGAAATCTCGATTGTTCTGTTCCATGTATTCCAGATTGGTTATTCCTTATATTTTATTCAAATGCATTTCAATCTAAAAGTAAAATGATATTTTCCCTTTTGACAACCAAATGTTGCAAGAACACCTTGCGCAGCATACCTAGTTTTTATTTTAGCGAGACAATGAGTGTAAATCGAACCCGGTTTTCAGAAACTTGATTGGGATTACAGATATGTTCGCAATATCCGGAATTCATTACTAGAAGAAAATGTTTTGTTATTGCAAGGAAGGTTTTTTTCATGCGCTAGCTTTGTGTGCTAACTTTCAGCAGCTTAGTGAAAAAAATATATATATGTTGCCAACAAAACGTTGCGGGGCAGGTGTTTACAAGACGTACAGCGTCGACAAACTGTGTCCATGAAACGAGTGTCCACGAAAGGTTGAATTGTGTTCAATGAAACGATATGGACCCGTACAGATGTGAAAATGCAGCAATATGAATGTAAAAAATGTTTTTTAGTTGCTTCTGTAACTATATACAGATTTTTTTTTTTTTTTTTTAAGCTTTACAGATTTGTTTTAAAATAGTTGTGAAAGCTACACAATGCGGTCTGTGCAGGCAAGTTATATGGCCAGGGAAAATAGTGTAAAGGCTAATCATCATGATCAGTCGAATAATTCGCTATATAATTTGATGACTAGCTTTTTAATAAGTGAAAATGGACAAGTGGTTCCAATTATAAACTGGCTGAGTGTCAGCGAAAGCCACTAAATTAGAAAATCTTAGACCGGGGTGCGCTCAAGTTAGCACTTCTGCAACAGGCGAAAGGTTGGTGGTGCAAAAACGCAGATGATAAGACAATGATCAGGGCCAGATTAAGGTACGGGCTAAGGGGGTTGCAGCCCTGGGCCCCAGGCTGTCGGGGGGCCCCATGCTGGCCCCTGAAAATTTAAAAATGTTAGACTTCTTTTTTTTTTTTTTTTATTTAAGAAAGTTTAGGCAGAAAGCAGAAGGAACACTCATGAAGGGCCTCTGCAACAATGACCTTCTCGTTCTCTTTTCCTCAACAAGGAAACAAGGATGCCATAAAGTTCCCGTCTCTAGATCAGCTGGCGTTTGTGAGCTCGTTGTGCAAGAGCGTGCCAGAACAACAAAATTTAACACGGCCTCCAATGCCCCTTGTTAGAATTTTTTTTTTTTTTTTTTAAATTGGAGTTTGATTAAAGGACGGTTATGGAGCTTTTTTTTTTTGTACTCGGGGCCCCTTTAGCGTGTTTTACGGACAATTTTGGGCAGGAAGTTAAGCAAGCGCAGGCAACGCAGATGGTTCACACATGTTGTTTTAAACCTTTTCGCAAAACTCTATATGGAGTTCATTCCAGAACGATAAGTTTGGAACAAGCGAAAAGGTGCCCGTAAATCTTCCGGACGCCGTCTCTATAGCCACCAACAAAGAGGCGTTTCAAGGAGCCGGCTCTTAAGACGCCCCTCAACAGTTTTCGATGGGTACTGACTGCAAGGAAGTGCTCTAAAGTCGATATCTGGTCTGCCAGTGCAACTGAACACTCTTCCTTCCAGCGACTGATATGAATACTGCAATGGTTTCACCAACCTCTGAGGTACAACCTCTTAATTTTTAACGTTGAGTCACAGAACAAAATGGCCGCCGAGGTCTAAATTACTGCATTTAAAAAGAACAAGATTAGTACTAAATCTGATTTGAAACATTTTTACCATTCAACAAGACAGCGTGTAGATACAAAAAGAAAACATCTTCTCGATTCTCATGATAAATTCTTTAAATGCAAATGTGCCCGAACGACAGCGGTCAATGTCTTAGAATCGCACACAGTTTCTCCCATGCTTTAAATGTGGAAGTCTGTGTTTGTTTGCAAAACAAGGGTTCAGTTATTAGAAAAGCATTTACAAAGTAGTTTGATCCCGATAAAGACTGCTTCAACCAACGAAATTTCTTTCTTGCCTATGTCACTTCCTTCACTGTTCACACCAGTAATTAATTAACAGAGGGCTAGTTAGAAGTTAAAACACTTCCAATAGTTTGGAACAATTACAAGAATAAGGGCTCTAGATTTTCGTGGCAGTTGTCGATTTGCGAGGCATGCCATTTAGGGGAAGCAAAATTAGAATGGGAATTTTGCAGGTACCTTTTCGATTGCTGCATAACTCAATTCATGTGTGATTAATGATGTCACTCAACACGTTAAAAACAGGGTCACCTGTGCTACAAGTCAACATTGTGACCAATTTGTATGAACTGGCCCAGGCATGTACCCTATGAATCTAGCTGTAATTCTAGTCAACCAAATTCATGAACGGAGTCAACATTTTAAACAAAAACTAGTTTTTTTTTTTTGTTTTTTTTTTGTGGTTAAGTTGCTGGATGTGAATGACAAATCCTAATATTTTCCGCAATGTTTATTTGATTTCATTTTTGTACCTCAAAATTACAATATTGTAAATTGCTAGAGCGGTTGATTATTTGCGAAGTAGCTTCTAAACTATTGCATCCGCCTCAATGCCAGCAAGGAAAATTTGAATTCCATTGAATCTACGGATCTAAACAAGGCTCGACAATAATCATACGATGAAACATATCTGGATTTAACAAGTTCAAAAATATACATATTCCCGTCGTCATCGTTACCTCCACCACCACCATTATCATAGGTAGAGGCCTCATAACAGCCTCAGCCTAGGGCCCCCAAATGCCTTAATCCGGCACTGACGATGATCCTTATTTTCCTTTACGTCATGCGGCTACACCTCTCCGCAGTATACATCACTAGGAGGGAGGGAATTGTGGCAGGCAAGACATGGTGGAAGCCGACGAGTAACCATGTCGGAGAAAAAGAGCTCGAGCGATACGCTTCACTTATACCATTTCCCTGGTGCCTCGCTGTCTGCAATGTCAAGACTGTAAAGGTTTATCCAATCCTTGGCCAAAAGAGCCACCTCAACCATGAAAATTAGTGCCACTACCACCAGTCCATTTATGTATGCGCCTCTCCGTTCGTCCACCTTATCTGCTGTGTCCAGTACTCGTCGAATTTAAGGTGTAGCTGAACCGAACAACGCAGAGAGCAAGTCGTCTGCTTCTTGTGCAGGGGTTGTGGTGACGCAGAACGACGCAGATTTCCGATTGGCTTTGATTGGGAGGATAGTGGGTAGACCTCAATGCTATGATGCCTAGAGGTCTACCCACTATTTTGTTTAACCAGCCAATAAGAACTTGGCATTCTGACATCATCATAACCCGTGTGCAAGAAGCAGACAAACTTGCACTCTGCATATCCCAGATGAAGCCCACCATGCAAGCAAAGAAGTCACGAAAAATATCTTCGAAAGAGCTGCAGTCCATTTTCAAGCTGAAATATAAAAAAGGAGCTTGATACCAGCAACTGCAATAGATCACTCGATTCCAATTATTCTAATGTGAAAGAGTGTGCCTTATAAAGTAACCAATTTTATTGACAACCATAAGATAACATTACAGGCAAGGCAAGTATTCCCTTCTTGATCACTTTCCTGCATCTCTCAGCCAAGTTACAACAATATATTTAATTGTTATCACGCTTTGCATTGGCGAGGTTGAAGACGAAATTTAAGGTTTGATTTCCAAGAACAGATGGAGCGCGTCATTCTTGACAAACCCGTCCTCTTCTAGCAGATTTCCTGTGGCGAGGCATGATCCTCCAAAGCATGCATCACTTAATTTCTTCTTCCTCTGAAAGCCAGCCAGCATTTATCTTGTAGGAAATCACATTTGACTGGTCCTTCGAGTGAGACACCAACCGTGTACATTTTTCTGAAGGGCTACTCCAGCTGTGAGTCATGTTCCCCAAGTTCTAAACTCATGAAACACCCAAAGCCCACCTCTGTGCCCAAACGATAAGTTGGACAACTTGGAATACATTGTAATCATATATGGTGCTCTCCAAGCTCACAAAGCCTGCCCACTGTGCAATGTACCAATGGTACATTGGTACATTGAGCATAAGGGCCCTTGCTTAGAAGGACTTGTCAAATTTCTGCGCACCACATCCAAGGCTTCAGTCAGCTCGTCCCTTTGCAAGTGGAGCTCCTCCCTCACAAGCTTTTTGTCATCGGCCATTGCTCCCCGAAGAACCTGCAGTCCCTCGGTGAATTCAGTGGCACAGACTGTGCTAAGGTCATTTAGCTGCTTAGTGAGCCTAGAAGCTTCAGCCTCTAATCGGCCCTTGCATCTTGAACCCTCAGCTCTCACATCTTCACTGCACCGTTTCAGACTTGACTGCAGCGAGATGATGTCCTTGGAGATCTTCCCTATGGCTCTGTTCATCTCGAGATAAGCTTTGCTGACATTCCTAAGGTCTTTGGTGGCAGGGCTGTCGGTAGGCAGACGTGTGGCTTGGGGAATGCTGCAACCATTCTTGAAGTGCTCCAAAATGTCACTCTGCAGCACTGTTGAGTGACACAGGCAGCAAGGCACAATGTTGAAGTCACATTCCTTGTAGTGGTCCAGGAGGCATGCTACGGGACCAATGAAGCTGCACCCTTTAGGTGCATTCCAGCAAGCAACCTGGGACCAAAGGAAAGGTGTTGAAATTGGGTGAACTGTCTTTTGGTAAAAGAATGTTTATGCTAATAATATAGGAACTTAGGAAAGGTTGTTAATGACAGTCAAAGAAGCAGAAAAATGGTGCAAATACCGTTAGTAAGAAACCCCATTGTGCTTTACTTCTTGTATCA